CTCCCCCGCACCGATCCCCCGCTTCTTTACATCCCCGCACCGATACTCCCCCGCACCAATACTCCCTCGCACCGATACTCCCCCGCTTCTTTACATCCCCGCACCAATACTCCCCCGCACTGATACTCCCGCGTACCGATACTCTGCAAAAACACTACTCCCCCAAGGCATAGATTCCCTTGGCTTTGTAAACCCCATTCGTAATTTACAACACTTTCTGTTGCTTTTTTCACTTGCTTTTTTTTTCAAGATGCACCACCCTCTTGGGACCCAGAATTGACTAATTTTATTTGAAGTATATTAGGAAAAATAAAGAACGTTACACGAAGTCAATCTCAGACTTAGTGTGCAGCTTGACAGTACGTAGGTCTACAGCTCTTCCCTGTGATTTTTGAGAAATATTTTTGCAAAATGAATTTCGTTCTCCTACTCAGTGCACTCGGTAGGATTTTTCTAAGGGAGTACCGTACCCCTTGCCCAAAAAAAAGAAGGGGTAATTTTCAAAATGAAGGGGTAAAATTAAAAAATGCTCATCAAGGTGTAATTTTGTGTATTAATAATCATGCAATCACACAGTTCACTTTCATAACAATAACCCACTATCCTTTTATCCAAAATCTTTTATTATTGCAATTTAACAAAAAGAAAACAAAAACAAAATGGACAGGTCACGCATAGGTCACGACTAGATACTGTGTTTCTTTGACTAGAGTAAAAGTAACTGGTGCTACCTAGTAAATGTAACAAAAGGAACACTTTGTTATACCTTTATAATATATCCTTTTTGTTGTATAAAACAGTTTGCTTACCGAATGTGGATCTGGACACTGACAAGTANAAACATGTTTTAGTCGGGTAACAATAATATCTTAAGAAAAAAATGAGACACTTGGGAATCAATTATGACATTTTCAACATGAGTCTGACCGTCAACGGACTGGTCAACTTCGCCGATCTTCAAAGCCAAAGGTGTGCGTATTCGTACGCGCTGGGGCTCCAGCCAATGCGTAAAAACAGCAAAACAACGCGTAATTACGCACTCTCATACGCTAACGAGTTTACTGTCCTACTGTACTCAGTAGTTACTGTATATATATTGTACGGCCTTTTATTTATTTATTTATTTATTTTTTATTAACTTAAGGCAAAGTAAGTTTTAATCTAAGATAACGCAGCTATTTTTTTTTTTCAGGCAACGATGAATTCGTAAAATTATTAATTAAGTAATAAAAAAGAAGTGCTAAAGCGCTTCGTTTTCTGTCTTTTTCCTCCAACCTTCTTTTCTGCTCTTTAAGCTTCTTTCCCTCGTCTTTTGAATCTGAATTAGATTAGAATCCGAATTGAGCAAAATTCAAAAATTTTGAAAATTGTTGCACAACGAAATTGTCGAGACACGAGCATGCGTCGTGAGCACGCCTTTTATACTCGCAGTCCCGTGGTGTTTTCGATTTTGTTAGTTATAGATGTGAGGGCGTGCGCCGTACTCAACACGCAAAGGGCTCTTTCTCCTTCATTTCTTGCGGCGTGCATCTTGGACCAGGCAAGTCTCACTTGCAAACCAATCGCAAACTCCTTAGAAAGGGAGCAAATTACGCTTGCGGCCTCGCTGTTCGCAGATTATTCCTAGAATCTATTGGAAATGTTCAATATCCTCCGTACGTGCTTATATACGTGCGAACTCGAAATTTCGCATAAAGGACTTGCGTGGTACAAGAGATTCTCCGCAAAATTTGGACTTAAACGGGTCCACTTACCTAGACTGACCCTAACCTGTATAATTAAATGGAGGGTTGACTCTGCTACTCGATCCTCAGTTTCGGCAAAATTGCATAGGGGGAGTAATGATGCCGGGGAGTATCGGTGCGGGGGAGTAACGGTGCGGGGAAACAACAACGCCGGGGAGTATCGGTGCGGGGGAGTAACGGTGCGCGTATAACGGCAATTTTACAGGGGGTTTATCGATGCGGGGATCTATCGGTGTGGGGTCGTATCGATGTGCATAATGCAAAAATTTACTAAGGGGGAGTATTGGTGCGGGGGAGTATCGGTGCGGGGGAGTAACGGTGCGGGGGAGTATCGGCATGACCCCTGTTGACATGCCAGTGTCCTCTCCAGTATAATCCTACTTTTATTCTTCCAAGGTTTGTGTAGTACTCCCCTCTACTTTTTATCCCTCTTATGTGCTTAAGTTTTTTTCTTCGCAGCCACCACCACATTAATTGGTTAAATTTGGCCAAGTACCATGGGATACAGTCATATGGTATGCCTACTTACTTGGTTTTCACCAACGGAAAGTAGGTCATAATTGTGGGTTGTAAATGCATCTTTTAAATATTATTTCGGACTGAGCTCGCCCTTAATTTGGCAATGAAATTGGTGTTGTGCTGTATTGCGCATTTTAGTATGACCAGAAAACCATGCTTTACTCTTTTATATCTTGTAACACATACAGTACAGGTAAAATAATAAAAATAAATAAATAAATAAAAGCATTAACACACAATTTATCGTCCAAGGGTTAATAACACAATATAAACCCTGGATATGTCACTTGCCAATGTCACTTGTCAAGAGCTTATAATTATATTTGATAACAATTATACATGCAGTTTGACAAAGGAAACAAAGTTAAAGAACCGACTGTGGCAGGCTTGAAGTTTTTTCAAAGAACATAAGAACTGAAATTAATTAAAAATGCGACCTGCAACGACCAAGTGTCTTTCATAATATATCTTACCAATGGTCTTCTGTTTCATGTTGTTCCATTTTCATACATGACCTGATTTAATGAAACGGAGCTATTTCGGAAACGATAAAGATTTGTCTCATTTTGACTTTTCTATTAAATTCAAGTGGAAAAGCTATGGTTACCAACCAAAAAACAAACTGTGCATGAATTTGTTTTGTCAGAATAATATTTACACAAGTTAAATGTATTTTGATCATCTTACTTTGGTGCAGGTGACAGACTTAACATACGAATAAATTAGGAATAAACTTGCAACTCCGCATTCTACAGGCCGGGAAAAGAGGTGCAGGTAGGAAGTGCTAGGGTTAATATTGTGTTTCACATATAATGTTAAGAATGAACTTCAAGTTTATCACTGATATTGCTCACTTAAACCATCGTTTTATTTGACATGGTATTTTGCTAACCATTATAACTGACTGATATATTTTGTGATCAACGTTAGTTATGACTCATACACAATGTTATTGTAATATCACACACTAGTACATTTACTAGCTTTCTGTCACTGTTACAGTGTTAGTCAGAATGAAAATAATTTTTGCTACATATCCACTTGATTTAGAAACTTTTTACTAGTAGGGCTAAACTCTTACCCAACAGGGCACTGTACCCCTCTTATATATATTTTAATTTTGCATATCATTGCAATTTCATTCATGTTACTGTAAAGATGCATTTGAAGTAATTTCTTGGCCATGAAACCTGACCAAATGCCTCCGTAAAGGAATTTTTTCAAATTTCCTGAAGAATGGTATTTGGACAGGCATTTTCTGCTTTCTTTCTGTGCTAAATTTACCACCAGAAATTTTTAAAATGTGCAGTTTTAATGCGCTTTTATTGCTAGTCAAGTGAATAATTTGGTTTATACCTTGGCATGTCAACATTATATGGAAACTAGTAGAATTGGTTGATATGCCTTACAGGGAATCTATGCTTGGTTCAAGTATAACCTGAAGTTATACTAAGTAGGCTCATTTTTTAATCTTGAAGATGAATGCATAGACTAAGAATAAGATTCACTGGTATCTCTCATAATATTTCTTTGTAAACTTAAATTTTGCATATCATGTCAGGTTCATCTATATGGGTGATTCAGAAATTAATGGCACTTAAGGCTCTGTAGTGTTAGTCATGGTAATTATTTTCACATAAAATATTTATGACTTTTTCACTCCAAACCAATCTCATTTAAACAAGATCTTCACTCCTGTCCTGTTAAATATATTATGTTCATGATTTAATCAAAAATATATGTTAAAACACATGATGCAATGTACGTTTGATAAAGTGAACAAAAAGTAAACAGTTTCCTAATCCACAGTACCTGTAACTAATAAGATGATTCATTTTTACTCTTTCACATTCATGTCTTGCAGTGTTATCTAGAAGGGCAAGGAAGGTCTAGATGAAATATGGCATATGCAACTGACCCATCAAAAACAGTTATTCCAGATCAGGAGCAGGTAAAAAATATTTAAAAAAAACTTTCCTTACTTTTCAAGTCTTTCTAAGTACTAATAGCTTTTTAGATAAATTTTCTGAAAGTGTGTCATGCTGTAATTACTTGTTTTTCAGATCCTCCTGGAACCATATGAATATATTTTACAGATTCCAGGAAAAAATGTTAGAACAAAATTGGCAACTGTAAGTATAACTCTATATTATTTCTCTCCAGGAACATGGTTAGTGATGGCAGAAATGTATAAAAGGGATTAGATTTAAATATTACTTGCTTACATAATCCTGTTGTACTGCAAACTGTTTAAGCCATATCAAAGAAAACAGTTTTAATATTAACTGATGTAAAAAGCTTTACCTATTCATATACCTCTGAAACAAAATGAGAAAGAAACATACTGCCATCACATGGCTCTCTGTGGACTTCATCTTGTCTGTTATCTCATCATTCAGTTCAACACAGCAGACATGGACCTGTTGTTGTTCTGTAGTTGCACTGTTGAATACTGTTGTTGAACTTTACTGTAGTTTGAAAGTATGACAATGAGCCCAGTTAATGCCTATCAATAATCAGTCACTTTTTTTGCAAATTTGTCACCTTAATGGACTCTTCAATGGTATATTTCATTCATTGTTTTCTTCTGCATGAGTTCTTTTTTATGATTTAATTGCCTTTCATGATGCACCATTCTATTTTTAGGCATTCAATCACTGGCTGCATGTACCAAAGGAAAAACTTGAAATAATTAGTGAAGTTACACAGATGCTACACAATGCTAGTTTATTGTAAGTGAAGTCTGCTGTAAATGAATTTACAGGCATATGAAACAAGTAGATGTATGCTCAACAAGCATGCTTCAAAAATAAGTCTTTAACTCATTCAACTTACATTCAGTATATATGTTTGATAATATTCTTTTTTTATAAAATTTAAAGCAGCACAAGTTTGTTTCCTCAGTGAGACTTCTGGATACTAAATGAAGTGAAATTATATTTTTAACTGGTCATCATAAGGGCTAGATATTATTGCAGTTAGATTTTTAAAGTTTTTATCACTATAAACCTAATATTTGGGAGGCTATAGTCATAGTTTATATTTTACTACCAATTGATATATTACAGAATTGATGATATAGAAGATAATTCCAAACTTCGAAGAGGCATTCCAGGTATGTTAACACGAGACTTTAGTAGTAAATGGTTTATCATGTGTGTGCATATCAGGTTTTAAGTTTTAAGTAATATTTCAAGTTTTTAAATTTCATTGTCATTTTAATTTAAGGTTGTGCATTGTTTTTCTTGTCCATTTCATCAGAAAAGATAAGTGAAAGGCCCATGTTTATTTCAAATTCTTAAATTGTTTTTTGTTAATCTTTGGTCATTTTAAAATTCAGTTGCTCACAATATATATGGAGTAGCCCACACGATCAATTCAGCTAACTACGTGTATTTCTTGGGCTTGGAGAAAGTGCTGACACTCAATAAACCAGAGGCAATGGCTGTCTTCACTGGTAAGTAATAGGACTGAGTGGTATTGTGTCTTAAAATTAAGTTGACTTTACAGAGTAAATGACTTTAAAAAGTTTTGAAAGGGTTGCTAATAAAAAAGATAATAGGAATGAAGAAGTGCATATTTTAATGTTCTTTTTGCAAAGATAATTATAGGTTATTAGGTAAATTTCACTTTAGCCCAGTTCATTAAAAATATTGAAATACATGATATAAAGCTAAAATGAAGTTGGTGCTTTATTCATTTTGTGTAGGACCTAAACATAATCAGATCGATTTTTACTGACAGTTGTTTTTACCTCACAAACCATATACTTGCCTCTTCTTTCTGTTTATATGAGATAGCATTTTGATAATCTATCAGTAAAAGTCTGCTCTCTGAACAGATAATACTTAATTTAAATGGCTGTCTTTTAATTTGACACTTTCAGAGCAGTTATTAGAACTCCACCAGGGTCAGGGACTCGATATTTACTGGAGAGATGCATATGTCTGTCCTTCTGAAGAGGAATATAAATCTATGGTCATTAAAAGTAAGTACAGTCCTGTTGAATGAACCACACTGTTTTAAAGACAGAATGCTACAAAGTGGCAAATTCGATTTACTTTAACTTCAGATCAGTGCTGATGTATTTTGTATATTTACAGAAGTTTGTTAACTGGGAAGATATTGCTTTTAGAGATTTTTTGCAAGTAAGCGTTGTATTGCTGACAATCTAATGAAGCATTGGAAGTTTTCATTTCATCTGTGACAAATCTTTATTATTTTACATTTTAGACATGATATTGCTCTCTGTTTTCTGCATGAACCATTTTTCTATGATTATTGCAATGTGAAAATAACATGTCAACTGCATTTTCCAATTAAGAGACTGGAGGCCTTTTTGGTCTCGCTGTCAGGCTGATGCAACTGTTTAGTGAAAATAAAAGGTATGTACAAGGGGTGAGAGGCTGGGCTGAAAAAAGTTGTTTTATAAAATTGTGCTTTAAACCTCTATAATTGACAGTTTTTCCTTTTTTGGGTCTTTGTTAAAGTTTTAATGAATCAATCAAGAGTCAGTTTTAAACTTTCTACAAGTTGGTTAGCACTTGAGTAATTTTACTTTAAGGAATTTAAAACAAGGGACCTTGAACAGTCCTCCAAAATGATATGTGTCTGTTATCTGAGTACCTTGGCCACACTGTTCTATATAACAATCCTGGACTTCTATTTATTCTGGGTTTTACATTTTAAATTTCAGTAACTTTAAGCCTCTGCTGGACAATCTGGGTCTCTATTTCCAGATCAGGGATGACTTTGCCAACCTTTATTCTAAAGAGGTATTGTTCATTTCTTACTATATCTACCACCCCTGACATTTTTGTTACATGACCCCCCCCCCCCCCCCCAAACTTGCATTTCACCACAGCACTGCCAATTTGAAGGATGGTGTAATTATATGCAGTTCATATATCAATTAAGACCATTTCAATGTTTTAGTACAATTCAAGCTGTCTGTTTTATCTCTATAGTTAAAGTTACTAATAAGTCAAATACTGAAGTAAAGTATTGCAATGGTTAAGTCATTATTATAATTTCAGTATGAAGCCAATAAGAGCTATTGTGAAGATCTGACTGAGGGAAAGTTTTCCTTCCCCCTGATCCATGGTATACGTATCAACCCAAGAGACAATCAGATCATGAGTATCCTTGTCTGGATATGTAGGTGGATATGAATGTCCATGCTTGATATAGGGGAGCAGAAATGTATCCGAGTCATTAACACTAAAATTGCTAAAATTAGGCATTGTGTCTTTTTCAGTGTCAATCATTATTCCACCATATCTAGACTAGCTCTCCCTAGAATATTTATATCTGTTAAATAATTTACTCTCTAAACAGAACGTCTGATTTATTATTCATCCATTTAATTTAGTGGAAAATCAGTAACTTTCTAAATGAATTATTTTGTATCTGGGAGAAGAGATGCTGGACACAGTGTTGTACACCTTAAAATCCACCATGCCTGTTACATCCAGGTTTACATGTATGTTTATGTGTGTGAATGACCCTTAACCATGTGTGGGTATATTACGGCAGCGTACCACTGACAATGATGTGAAGAAGTATTGTGTGGAATATTTGCACAGAGTGGGTTCTTTTGACTACACAAGGAAAGTTATTCTAGACTTGGAACAACTGTAAGTTTGCAAGAATGTCAAACAATACCATCAACTCCATTAGACTTTTCAATAGTAAAATATTCAGCTTTACTGATTTCATTAATTTTATTTTTTAACCTATAAATTTTGAACCTTGATACTTTATATATGATAATTATCAAACACAAGCCAAAATATGTCCATTCTGTTAGCTTACCATTACTGTTGTTTGGTGATTATCACATATGATCCAACTACCAAATGCAAGCTAATGAACAGTTTTGCTTGATGCTTTAGAATGTATTTGCACTCTGAAATGAATCAGTTTGCAAGTATATATTCATGTGTTTAATTTGTGTGTTTAATTTCTATTAAAATATTTTAACACATTTATAGATTAATTTCTGACTCTCCACATATACTTCTTTTTTTCCTAGTTTATTGGAGCAAATCAAAAGTTATGGTGGAAACCCTTACTTGGAGAGCTTGATCTCAGAACTCAGTAAACTGTACAGGAATGGAGATGAACAGAGTTGATGAAGGAAATCAAACTAACATTAAATTATTCCAGCAGGGAGCAAGTGCAATATCTGCATCACATACCCTCTGTCAGTCTTCAGTTCACTACCTCTTTGTGTCTGAAAAGGAGAGGCCAAGAAATAAGTACTAAAATGTCTTATTGGCACAAAGGGAACAAAAAGTCACCAAAGCAACTGTTTATTGGTATAAAAGAAACAAAATTTTGTGACAGAATATAACAGGTTTTATAATAAAGAACTGAAAAAAAAAGTAATATATTTATTTTACAATGTAGGATGAGAGCATCCCATACAATTGAGGTACATGTCTTCATGAAATGTACTCATAGTGTTTAACTAAGGACCAAATATGCCATTTTTACCTGTTGTACAGCCAAGCAGGTCTACAGAACATAGAATTAACCTTCTAATATTTTGCAAACTGAGGCCAATACAACCTTCCACAGGTACTATTAGGTTCAAATCTTTTTCTTGTAAGACAGCAAGATTGCCTTCAAAAATTTTCCAACTTCAGCTATTTTAGTTTTAACTCCATATTTACTATTTACAGTTTTTTTAAAGTTAAAAACAAAAGTTTTCCAACTTCAACTATTTTAGTTTCAACTTCATATTTTTTTAAAGTTAAAAAGTCAGTGAACACTTGACTTCAACAATGAAGTCCTGTTATCACTTTGTTATCCTCTAAAAATGGGTTGTAAGTACACAGGCCTACCCAAATACCAGACTCAGCACTGAATGATCCTGAATTCACCAGTAGATCGGATCACACTACCTGTTTTCAAGGTGCATATCAGTACGCATTTCACAGTATCATACCCTCATTTTCCTCAAATAAGAGTCGTAAGAATACAACGATATGACAGGTGTAGCCGATGAAAAAAATCAAATCATTTTAACGGGTAACGTCTGATTTATTTTTTTAACAGTAAAGCAAATGATTATATGTTAAAATTGTTCTGACGAATTTCTAGCTAAAACAAATGATTATATGTTAAAATTGTTATGATGAATTTCTAGCTAAGTGAGAATATACACATCTATATGTATTTTCACAAGAAAAACTGCATAACATAGTTGGTTATGTCCAAACCTAAACTTAATGTTAAAAAGTCACGGTATTGTTTGATTTATTACATAAAACAGGGAAAAATAGCAGAAGTGCATGAATCTTGATGAGACGCACTACTTTCCAATCCCACTCAGAATCATCGCTATCACATTGTGTACCAGGCAAGATGGTGTCGTGTCTGATACTTCGAAGTGCATACTGATACACACCATGAAAACGGATAGCATTATCCGATCTAATGGTGAATTTTGGACCCTTTGGTGCCGAGTCTGGTAGTTGGGTAGGTCTAGTACAATAAAATGTGGCTATTCAGAACTATCTTAAAAGAGAGACTGAACATATATCATGTCACCAATTCAGAATTTGGTCTTCTTGTCTAGTCTTTCTAAAATACAGCAAAATGTGAACTAAAATTTTGTAACATATTTGGAATGATAATTTTGATCCTGATATACCAAACTTGCAATATATTATTAAAATGGTTTTCATGTTTAAGTTTTAAGATATTGTTTACAATTCAGCATTATTTTTAATGTAATATTCAAGTATACCTTATCATATGTTATCTGTTGCAATAAACAGATTTTGATTGTCACCACTTTCTTTCAAATTATACAAACTTGACATGACTTAGTGGAGATTTGCAGCTTGATTAAACTAATGTCACAATTTAACCCTGAATTCACTGAAATGTCCAATACCAATGACGTGTGCAAAAGTGCCTACAGGAATATGTAATCTTCATTTTCAACTGACTACAAAAAGTCTTGATGGCTGCATTTGTTTTGTTCATGTCTTTTACTACAAAAAGTCCGGGTGCTTGCCTTCATTTTCTACATGGTAAAGAATTTCTGAGAGTGTATTTTCTATGACTGCATCCTCTGCTGCTGCTGAGATCTGCAATAATGGAATGTATAAGATGAGAATTAAAATTTCACAAAGCCATTCTCTGTTAACAAGCACTTTGTTTAAAGGTACACTAAATGTGTTTGAATATGCCCCAAAGTCAAAAATGTTCAATCTAAATTTTTTTCCCTCAGGATGATTAAATTTGATGCAATTCCTGAATAGGAAATCTTTCAGGATTGATGCATATTTAAGCTATTGTCCAAACTTAACCAAGTATCTTGGATGTCATTATAAGTCAATTAAAAATGGCTGTAAAAATTGACAGCCTGACACATACTGGTTGGAAGTTCTCCAAATCCTTGGGTGGGTATTTAAAATCTGGACCAAAGTTTAGGGTAACCTACAAATAAACAAATGAAGTTTGGGCAATGAAATAACAAGAAGAGCAGTTGTAATAAGAAATTCTATGATCTTTTTTACTTTAAAAAAATCAGAATCACTGACTGTCAGTTAGCTCACAAGCCTGCCATGTTTACTTATAAAGAAAGCAGAGCAGTCCTCTTACTGTACTACTTGTAAAAGTGCTTACAAAAACAATTTCATTTGTTGTTATTCAAAGTGAACCCTTATGACAACATTTTAAAATTCAGTCTGCCTCAAGTATTTTTTTTCCAAATCTTATGTCCATGCACACAAAGCTATGAGACCTTTACTTACTGTAGCATTCTTGTACAAGGAAATACACGGGTAGTAGCTGGCTTCATGTATATCCGTCCATGCCACCCCCTGACTGATTCCATTCTTGAACATTATCAACTAGGGTTAAAAAGTAAAATTTCATTGAAAACAGTGCACCAGTAAAAGCATCATCCTTTTTCATCATATAATGTCAAAATTTAAAGCAAAAAGTGCAAGGTTAAAAATAACCAATAGGTTTATTATCAAAACATGTACCATTCAATAAATGTTTTATGTTACTCAAAAGATCTTAACCAAGTTGCTACTGATTTGCTTCATTGTTATATGTATAGGTGCTTTCTTGTCATTGAACATGTTATTTAGCCAAGCTTCTCACCTTGCTTCCAACTGCTGGCTTTAGATTCTTCTCAGTGTCTTGTACATTGTCCTTCTCCTCGTAGTAAAGATGGCTTTTAAACTTCACCAAGGGCTGCAATTAAAACAAAATGGAAAACTTAAAAAAAGTGACAGATCCTTTGTACTCTATTGAAATTGCTTATCAAATTTATTAAAAATTCACCATTGTCACATTTTCCTTCAGTGTTTTAGTGGTTGACCTCTCTCTATGGCAGTTAGAATACAAGTACAAACTCAAAACTATAAACTTATACCAGGTCTTCTCAAAATCTATGATGAAAGTATCAGGTATGAAAGCAGTGTTTTGGGGTACACCATCATTTTCAGTTTTGTAATTGTGTAGCTCACTGGAGCAGCTATCCAAACAATACCAATGCCAGCTGTTCTTCAAACTTTTGGTAAAAAGTATGTTTCAAAGATGTGAGGTGCTTCCTAAAAACCACCAAAGATTTACTGTTATCTTGAGTAACTAACTATTATCTCTTTCTAATCTAGGTAAGCATTTAATTGCAGAAAAAACACTGAGACCCTTTATTTACTGCATGATATGAAAATTAAACCAACTGACAAACTTGTTATCTGTTTGACAGACTGAATAATGATTGTCACTTGAAATTAATGTATTTCTACTACAATTCACTTTGAATATAATGTTAATCAAAAGGAACAGCTGTTTTTGTGGGATATTCTTTTGCTGTGACATGTTTGATTGCTTTGATAACTGAGAATAAAAACGTTAATTTTACAATGGACTTATTTTTCTTTATGGCATACATATAAGAAATGAATGTTAGTGACATCCCCCTGACAGTGGTATCTAACAAAAAAAAAAAAAAAAAATTGTAATCATTCAAATGTTCCTGATAGCTAATATAAAATTTTGGGTTGGGCACATCCATAGTAAACAAATAATAAACTAAAAATACTGTTGATCTCAGACATAATGACTTAATTTGCTGTCAGTGCAGAGAGACTTTTCCTTAATGTGGTCCTTCATGCCACAAACCACAAAGGGATTGGTCTTAAATGCTATCAAAAATGAACACCTGCCTTGGGCATAATTTCTTTCTTGATACACACAAAATACATGGTACTATTCCACAACATATGCACTAACAGAGTCAATATGTGTCACAGATTTATGCCTGGGGCAAATTTAGAATCTCTAGAGTGAGAACCGGAGGAGGGGGGAAGAGGGAGAATGCTCTTCAGCATCTGCTTAAAAAGGGGAGTTTATCTGCACTTGCTCTGACATGCTGTCTTTACATAAAAATCACAAAGACTGTATTCTTCAACATATATGACATCAAATATGATAAATTTAGCAGACAACACAACATGCAGAGTTTACATTATATTAATTATGCATAACTTAGTCCTAATTTCAATCAGCAAGTATTTTATGCTGTGCCACCTGTTGCACAGGGCGGAGTTATTATGGACCAAATGTGCACGTTTTATTTGCAGCCCAGCTGGTAGGGAGATGGTCACAATGATATCAAGGCAGATATTCTAAGGCTCCCTTAAACAACATGGAATGTGGATGGATTCTGCCATTGGAAAAAAAATGAAAAACAAAGTAGACAATGCTGTGAATGACTAAGGTACGCTAGCATACTTTGTGGGAACTATAAGGTATGCTGAGAGGCTTAAAAAGTGGAGAACATTCTTCGTGTCTTATCCTCCAGATTAATGGTATTGATACATAGCAAAACATGGAATATAATGAGGTTGATATGACAGAGATCAAGCAGCATAGCCTGGTACAGTTGTAGATCAGCCGCATTAGTAGAATTAAATTTCACACCATCTGCCTGACCACCTCCTATGTGTCTACGACTATGTTAAGGTTGGTCTGGCCAGTGTACCTGTTACTGACCCTGGTGACCATCAGTACAGACCAGACACCCCTCCAAGCACCCTCTCAGACATGGAGGCATGCTAACCAAGGCACCAGTACACAACTGCAAGATGGCCTCAGAGATAAGGTCAGAATGAGCACTTCAGCTCCAGGATTAAATTATAGTCTAGAAAAACATAATGGAAGCGCAGGACCTGGGACCCTTGATTCAGCTAACAGAGGACATATATTAACTAGTGATTACATTAAAAATGAGACAGGACATGAGGATCACACTGCGGTGACATCAAGTTATTACTGGACACCTTTAGGGAAGTCAAGAGCAAGACAGCAGCATATTAAACTGGGAGCCTTTGCTGCAACGGGGCAAAAAGTTGAAAAGGAATATGAAAAGCCTGTGGCTGTTGCATCAAAGCGAGCATCAACTGTAAAAAGCACAGAGCCTATAGCTCTGGGCACTGTACAAGTAGACGGATTGAAGATCACTCACCAATTTCACATATATACGTCACAGGACAGGACAACTGCATCTTTGCAGACAGAGACAACTCAGATCATTTCAAGGATATACTACACAGAGTCTAAAAAACATTTTAATGGCTTGAGACTTGAGAATAATGTTCCAAGTGATAAAAATGATGTGCCAAATGTCACAGCACCTGCTGCTCCAAAAGTCGGAAACTTCGTTAGACCACATGTGAAAGACAGTTCTGTGCAGACTCTCACAGACTCTTCTGCAAGTCTAAAATTTGCGGTGAGACATGAGAAAGCCAGTGCAGCACATGCTATCATAGATCACACAGCAACTTCTGTGTCAAATGTCAGGGACAACAATGACTCACAAGAGGTAGCCAGCTCTGGGCCTTTAACAACAAATACTGCCAGTGAGCCCAATGGACAAAACTTGTTGCCACCTAACCAGACAAACATTACCCAGACAGCTTCCAAATATACTGAAACACAAGTATTAGATGAGACAGTGGCAGCAGCAGCTGCCATGCAACCAGATCACCATCCCTCTATATTTCTGAACCAGAATTTTAGTCTTTGGGAACTAATCTTAGCAGTAATGGCAACCGCTGCAACTATCACCATGGCAGCAACTGTGGTGACAGCTCTATACTGCTGCTGTAAGAAAAAGAAACGGAGTGTCGAAAATGGACATTTTGTAACTTTAACATCCCCTAAACAGGCACCAAAGGGAAATAATAGGCAATCGGATACAACTGTGATACCAGTTCCTTCTACAAATGGACCTTCTGTACAGGATCACTATGTATACAGTGAAGTCAATCTCAGCTCCCCTGATGCAACACAAAGCAGTTCAGACAGAGAGGAAATGACCTCCAATAACACCCAGGATGGGCTTTTGAACACAAGTAAAAGTAAAAAGAAAGATGTCAAGTAAGCAGTCTTCGACTCTTTTTCATTCAGTCACTAATGTCTTCATAAAAGATACATGGTTAAGTTCAATGTCCTATTTTAAAGGGAAACCATCTTTAAGCATGACTAAGCTTTGTCTTTAAATCTTAAAGAGATAACAACTTTTCATATATGAGATCCATATTTCTAAATAAATATATTGTAAACAACTCATAGAAATATAATACTTTAAAACCAAAACATTGGTTATAGCAATTATTCTGGAATCTTAACTTGCCATCGGACCACATGACTTCCATAGATTGCTATCCTTTATAATAATCTCTTAAAAGATAATTACAAAAAAAAAAAAAAAAAAAAAAACTTCTTAGCAAAAATAACAGGGACTAATTTTGAATGCTGGAATAGATTCATTAACCATTGTTAAGTATAGGAAAATTGTCGTTTACCCCAAGAAAATCCATTTTTTGACCAACATGAACAGCTGTTATCCCTTTAAGAGAGCACTATCAACAACATTCCATCTATCACATACACTAGTTATCTCTAATCAAATCCATCTTTAGGCCTGGAGTTTTTATGCTGCTCATTTCATAGCTAGGATTTTATCCTGATAAATAGTTAAATATATCATACAGATAGTATACATATGTATACATTGACAGATGTGCAGTATACAGTTACAGTAACATCATGTTCTTATTAATGGAAAAATAAAACAGAAAAACTGATAAATGTACAGATTTTGCAATATCATAATTTAATAAATGAGCCCAACTCAGTTCAAATAGATAAACACTGGAAACTAGGCCCATCACTGAATGTGATTTGAAAGGCTTACATAAAATATCCATGGGTTCACAAAAGTGGCAAAACTTTAGTAAAGCTTTGAAATGGAAAAAAATCCAAACTTTCCATTATACTATTGAATCAAGCTGTGCGCAACATTTTATGTCAAAGGTACAAGATTATGATAAAAGCAGTTAATAATAATAATAATAATAATAATAATAATTCTAGCTTTTAATGATACATAAGATACATATGTAGGCTCTGTATACTGCGGGACTTGAGATGATTCTCAAATACATTCCTCACAAATATCTAGCAAATTAAGTCTACTGCATGTACCTGTATTGGTACTTCTGCTATATTGGATCTCTAACTTATAACTAATATAGGTCTGATTTTCAATGTTTTTTTTTTTTTTTTTTTTTTTTTCAGTTACTAGAATGTGATGGTGTTGATTAATGTTAAAATAAATGCATTTTAGTTTTGAAAAATCTGACACTAAAAGCATTGGTGGTATCTTGGAATTTTACTAAAGTATTATCCTTTACACTTCGTAATGTATAACTTAATTAAAATACGTCTTGGCATTTGACAGTGGTAATTATCAATCAATTTTGGATATTAAATCTAAATTTGAATATAAATTGGAGGCTACAGAAAGCTGTCAAGATTATGTCAAGCAAGGGGTCAGACCTACACTGGGTGCCCAGCTGTGTGAATACACACAACCCAGCAATTTTCTCCTCTGCTGTTGTGCCTTTTTTATTAAGACCTATTAAGGGGCAGGGTAGGTGACATTAATGTAGACAGAGGTCCTTCAATCAATTTTGTGACTGCTAGAACAGCTAGAAGGACCTCTGGTACAGAGTACCACTAATCCTAGACATTGAAGTTGTTCATTTGTCAGAGATTCAAACTTCCAAGAAGTGATTTTTGTCCCCAAGTTTGTTACGTTAGGAGACCCTCTCTTTATTTCCAGATCACGGTCACTGATCCTTTGTATTGCCAGATCTTTTTTCTTTTACGAGGATGTGATATCCTCAGACACTGTCAGCACAAAAACACTTCATGGTAAAAATCCACAATTATTATTTATTGTCCCCATCCTTTCTTTCTCTTGTCAGGACGTTAACTAAGCCAGAAATATCAGTGTTAGCCAGAATAAAAGCACTGGAGGTAAAGTCAGATGAAGATAACATGGTCAGTACACAAACTCGAGAGAAACCAAAGAAGAAACGGCCCTGTAGCAAAGCATTTGAGGAATTTGAAAGCCAGGGAATTGTCATTGGAATGGTAAATACATGTAGTGGCTAATTTCTTCCTACTATATTCTAACTTTCAATTATACTTCAATTTGAGCACTTTAATCTACTCATTAAATAGTGGAATACAGGAGTCTGTAAGAAAAACCTCTCTTCTTTATAGGACAATAATTTTTGTATCATTCTTGTTGCTCTGCCATAATACAGGACAATTATGTTATGCTATCTTTGCACTCTGGCCAGAAAGTTCAATGATCGACATGGTGCTAGGGTCAGACAGAGGATGTCAGGACAGCAGCATATGGCAGAACAGTCAGCGAATGAGCTCATTATAGCCACTGCTATCTGCAGACATATGTTATTTTCTATGTCACTCCTAACACACACACACACTCACACACAGATTTAGTTAAGACCCTCTAACTATCTAGACCATAAATTAATGAATCAAAATTACTTTATAATCACAGGGTCGTCCAAAGAAAAAGGCCCCATCAGCTGACCTTGAGGATGAGAAAGAAGATGCAGCAAGTCAAATTTCCGAAGCTTCAAATGCAGAAGTCACAAGCAGCATTCTCTCCGACCAAGCTGACACTGACACTAACAAGTAATTATGCACTGACATTGTTAGTATAATCTTTTAATAAAAATGCTCATTTTGGATTTGTACAATATTGATTTTCTACCCCAGTTCTTCAAAACAAATCTAAAAAGGGGTTTTCCAAAGAACAAAACAGCCTCAATATCTAACCATTTCAGATCAGGGGCACATGGAGAGGACGAAGAGTTGCAGACTGAAGAAAAAGATTCAGATGATGAAAATGACTTTGCTGGCACAAAGAGAGAAGCTGGAGTGCTCAAATCTGTGAGTTTTACCCAAGATCATCAATACACCATTGCTTAAATTTGAATATTCTCTTTAACAGAGGCAACTGCAGCATGCTCTTTGATGCCAAACTCTTTAATGAATAATAAACATGTTCACCTAAAATCTATTCTAACAGAGAAATGCATTACTGACAGTCCTAAAGTATTTTTTCAAATTTATGGAAAATTAACATTTCATAATTAAAATAACACATTGTAAAATATGAATGCTCCAATTTCTCAGTTCCGACGTGCACCACCTCATAATAGATCAATCAAAGGTCGACCCAGTAAGAAAAGGGGGCACATCAGTACAGATGCAGAAAGCGATAACCAGGTACTATATATATATATATATATATATATATATATATATATATATATATACTAAAATTTTTATCTAAAATTTTAATCTCTCTTTTAATTTCTCTGCCTTGAAAATGGCAAATATGAACACCTAAGCAAGAAAAGTTGTTCATGCTAAAAAATGTCAAGCATATCAAATGTTCTTCAGGAGGCTCCGAAGCCTAGCAGACATAAAGCCAAACTCACGTCAAGAACATCAACAGATTCTACAATGGGTGGAGAGAACGACACAAAGACACCAGGGCACCCGGACTCAAATATTAATACAAGTGGATCCCACAACAATCAACAAGGAAACCCAGATGGTGATGCCCCTGTATACAGCTTTGTCAAGAAGGAAGGCAACAGAGATAGAAAGAGCAGTGAAGTGGGAAAATGGACAGGGGCCCCATCAGACAGCACACAGTCTGGCTTCTATGCTAATCAAATGACGAGCGAATCAGGTAAAAAAAATAAGTCAAGAAACAACATGACATTTGCAATGAAAGGGAAATGTATATTTTAAAATATTTTATTACAATCTAGCATATCCTTATCAAATATGATACATTTTGAGTAATAATAAATAAATAAGAGCAAAAATACTGTCAAGACACAGATGTTAATCACGGCCATATGGAGTCATTTCAATGCCATATATTGTATTCAAATTGGTAAATTATATTTGGTGGTGTCTCTTTTAGAGTATCCCTGTTCCTCAGACACAAACAGCTCAGTGCCTCACACCTGGTATGACTACAGTAATAGATGGGATGAACAAGACCAGTATATGTATGTAGATAAATGACAGAAAATATTTCATAAGTAGAACCTGTTAACAATTATACTACATATTATTGAGCAATCATATAAGCAAAACCAGCATATGCATGTAGATAAATGACAGCAAGTATTTCAGAACTGTTAACAGTAATATATATATATATATATATATATATATATATATATATATATATATATATATATATATATATATATTGCACTGTATATTTCCATATCTTTACACTTTATATTATTCTTAATATACTTTTCTAGACCAGATGAGGAACAAATGCCACACTCTGAAAAGTTGATCAGAAAATTTCCGTAAGAATTTTTTTCATCTTAATTTAAGCTGTTGACTACAAACTTACGATAGGAAGAACAATTTCAGCTTGTACTTAATAATTATCATCTACAATTATACTATGTTGTTGCTTCAAAAATGTTTTATTTTATTCTGTTTAGTGTATTATAAGTAGCTTCTTAAAATTTCAAAAATATAGATAAAAATCAAACTGGGAGAGTGTCAATCCCACTTAACAGCTCACAGCTTAGAACCACACTGCTTTCATACACCAAACCTTAACTTGGCTAGAGCAAATGAAAAAGCATTATTAATTTTGCCAATTTATTCCAGATTTGTTACAAAACTTGGGGCATGCATGCTCGGATATTACCAAAAAATTCATCTTCATATTCATTAACACTTAAATTGTTTGACAAAGTTATAAGTAAGCCAAGTGCCCACGCTGATAATTTTAAATTAATCTGCTTTATATTAAGCACTATTCTGCTTTCTGTGTTCCTTTTTGCCAACGGCTGTTCCTAAAACTTGAGAATGATCAATTTATGCTTGACACCTTTTGTTTGTTTTACAAAATGTAGGTATACAGGGACAGATGAATATAAAAAAGAAACAGAATTTGAACTATATCAGTGTAAGTTGCTTTCCACAACTGCTTTTCATAACCATACTGCAATACTGGATAATTCAATCTCAAACAACATATTCTAGTATGATATACTAGTACAGCTATTTTTTCCTTTGCTTAATGCACATAAGCAAAACTTAATTTGACAGCCAGCAATGCTTAAATTCAAATTAGTATACGTAAACAACTCTCTAGGCTAGGGCAGTACAAAGGACAGAAGAAAACAAAACAACTGAAATGCACTTTCCTTCTTCAGCACTGCAAAGGAAGATCCAACACTTTGACCATACTCCAGACAGTGCTGGCACATATAATAAGGTAAACTTTGCTGAAGAGTGATTTTCAAAGCTGACGTTTTTGTTAAAGGTAGACTCATACACAGTTGACACAAGGCTAAGGTCGTCTCCAGTGCATTAACTATTAGTGATTTTAAAGGGTTTTATTGTGCTAAGAATGCATTTGATTTTATAACATAACAGAAGATTGTATTTTGCATCTATATGTTACATATTGTACCATTTCAGACAATCTCAGCTCCACATGGTCAGCCTGACCACACCTCTCCCTCAGAACTACAGTCTCCTGTGCATTTCAAGATAAACAAAGGAGCTACATTAGTATAGATTCAATAAATGTGCGGTCTCCATTGGATTCCTTACCACTGATGGTGTCTGCCATTTCATAACTGCATATAATTACAAGTGGTAATGCAGTGACAATAATGGAGCTTGTCAAGACAGTTTCTGCATATATTACATATAAAGCTCACAGCTGTTGTTTATTTTAAACAATAAACTCAAATAGCTATACATACATATGCATGATCACAAGTAATGCAGAAAAGACCACAGCTTTAGTATTAAAACTTGTGCAAGGGAGCTGCAAATAGTTAATATGTGCAAAGAAAAAAGATGTTGAAAGAGATTAACAATAACATATATATTGAATGCCTTTTAGAACCATCCCATGTTGACCTTATGCTTAAGGTACTATCCAGACTTATCTTATTTCATCTTGAAGTACTCACTGTATCTTGTTATAAATATGCTGAAATGATTCAGCTATTTAAGCAGACACTTGTCAAAGTCATTATAAAAGGATCTTTATAGAAAAATTCTGACAATCTTCCAGTAGAATTTTATGCCAGTCTCAATCTACTCTTATGCATGTTTAACTGGCTTGAGCCTTTTTTCAATAACTAAAAAAAGCCTAATCAATCTGGACAGGTTGTCACCGGACTACTTATAATTAAAAATATAAAGATTTCAATAAGATATGTAAAATTCTTTTTAAGCAGACCGTCTAATACAAATATTAACATAACAGTTATCACCTACCCTGTCTTTATATGTGGCTGGAAGTAATTTTCCAGGTTTTGTAGGCCATGGTAGATATATGTAGAAGCCTACTACATCCCCTTCACCATAACCCTCACTGTAATGTTTGCCTCTGCTCTCATGGAAACGGGTGCCTTTCTTGGATCTCCAGGAGTAACTGAATTTGTCATAACCACATGGGGCTTGGAGATTTCCTGGAATAATAAGCCAATTAATTTTTTTAAAATCTCACAGAAAAGTATGTCTTAACTGGAATAAAATTCCACCTTTTTCAAGTGAACAAAAAAAATTATGACGTAGATTCTTATCAACAATACTATTCACATCAGTGACATTGTTGAACATATTCTTTTATTGTATTGTGGTATAATAATAATCTAAACTACGTATATGATAACAAAAGTACTTTCTGTACAGCTTGACTAATATGTAGACAACATGTTTGCAATTTTAACTGTACACTGGTGAAAAACATCATCATAATTCTCAATGTCAATAGTTACCCAGTGTCATGGACCACCCCATCCTGACTGCTGTCTCTGGAGGCATCTCATCTATTTTGACTTCAAAGTACCAACCGCCTTTGTTCACACCTGTGACATGGAAAAGTCAAATAGGTGTTATATGTTCAACTTCTTAACAGTGCAGGTCTCTCAAAAAGAACACACACACACACACACACACACACACACACACAAAGCAAAAGAGAGAGAGTCAGAGAGAGAGGGTATGGAGACTTTGATAAAGAATTACAATCATGTCTCTGTACAATAAACAATATATATGTTGAAACTGACACAAGCAAAATGTTTCAATTTTGCAGATCTCTCACTGCATAATGACAATAAAAAAGTACAGTAATCTGAAATTGACTATGCACCCCCCCTCCCCCGCCCCACTACCCTGACCCAATGTTTTATCACAGAGGAAACCCAAAGGAGAGAACGTAAAAAAGCTAACTGCTTATGCAAACAAAGATACATTACTTTCTTGTGCATTTGGCAAATAAACATGCAGATGACTGATATAAATTACTCCTGCACTTACAGTGAGTAGCTCTGACCATGCTATAGCCCTTCTCTCCAGTAACTGTCAATCTGTCATCTGAGATCTTCAGCTGTGGAGCTACAATTACAGAAAGAAATATAAGATAACAATTTATTCAGCCAATTAAAAAAATTGGAAATTATTTTCCTTTGGAGCAAAATTTGATATATATACAAAGTAAAATTAATAAAATTAATTTATTTAGAATATAATTAAATTGTGTTACTGCATTTGGTTAAAAGCGGTTTTAAATATGTTATTTCCTTTAAATATTATGCCATCCCATTCAGAGGGACACACCTTAATTTTAAAACAAGTATAAATGTTGATAGTTATTATCTGTTTGACATCAGTACACACATAAAACGCAAAATAAAAGCAACTGGTAAGATTTAAGAACTGCCTACACATTAAATAAATACTGTCTCATGGTAAATGATCTACCAAGGTTTATACTTTGTCATAGAAAGGAAAACCTGTGATGATAGTTCTATATATTCTGAAAACCTTGAAAAAAAGTAATGGATTGCAAAAGCATTCTTTTGGTGAAAGACTCTAAACTTAGTTTCTTATTTTAAACTTATTTTTATAAGTATGTTTGCAAGGCTAAATTCAGGACCATTCAATTATTTTTACCTCTGTCATGTAAAGCCAGGAGCACCTGTGAGCCCAAAAACGTTCTGTACAAATACCCTGGTATAGGTTTACCAGCCCACTCAACACTCTCATCAAATGCTTGTCTGTTTGGAGCATGTGGATCAGGCTCAGCCAGAATGTAACGATAGCCATCTTTGTTGAATGGATGTTCTAAAGGGTAGCCATGAGGAGCCAGTTTGGTGGCTGTGGTGACCTCTCTGAAAACAGTAATGTGGCAAATGCTTACCTTGTTATTCACTGAAGGATATTTTTTCTCTGTAAACTCTACTACAAAGATCTACTAAGCATGGTAATGATACTGTACATTTCTTATTTCATGGTGTAATCAATGTCCTAAGATTACCCTTTCTTTTGCTTGAATCCCGGTGGAACCCAGTTAGGGTCAGCTGGAGCAGCTTTCCTCTTTGCACTGCGACCCTTACCTGAAATTCATATAAGCTTTCTGTTAACTCAAATGTTTACTCAAACTGTGGTTTCTAACATGCACTACCACAACATACTAATTGCAAACAAATATTTATTAAATTCAACTAATCACATTTTTCATGTATATATAATTGCAACTGATTAACTTACCAACTATGTCTTATTTTAGCCATTACAAAAGATAAAGTTCAAATATCAGTTTGAATGTACTACTATTGTTAAGTTACCACTTACTGTCATTCAATGAAGATGATAATTTAGCATCCCCAGAATTACCATATGCCGGGCCAATTTTTGAAAGGTCCTAAAACCGTAGAAATTAAATATAAACAAACTATATGCTATCACTGCAAATGTGTACATAATATTCATAGCTTAAATTCCATAAAAAAGTCAACAACTCATGTTGGGGTACCTGTCTGTATAAAGTTGACAAGTGAAATGTTAATTGAGATTTTACCCACAGACAATTTTTATTCAGAATTCCTAATTAAGGGGGCAAGGGCCATACCAACAAACATTAATTTTCTTAATATGATATTTGAATTTATCTAGAGTTTCAAATTATTAATTAAACTATGAAGTATACACAATTATTAGAATGAAAAATCTGGTGATAGACTCTGACATGTTGCAAAATATTTGGATATATCACATCTGTAATTCACCATCAGGGGGCTTCCCTAGTGCCAAGTAATATTTGGGATGCAGGCCCTTTCATCTTAAGTCTACAACCAGACATATGGTAAGTGATTCATAGAACACTTGTGACCTAAAACATCACCCTCAACAATGCACACAAAATCAATGTTACCAAGTGCAAGATAGACATACCTCACTTAACAAACCGAAGTGAGGATCTCCCGCTCTTTCTTCTACACAAAGGAAAATGTCTGTTTCTTTCATCTGAAGTAAAAACAAAGAAAACAAATATTTATACCAAAAATTAAGTAAAAATATAACTAAATACCTTCATAAGATTTAATGTTAAGAATTTAAGTTTTAAAACATCTATTGTTCAGTCTTTGGGACAGTATATAAATCAGGAAAAGTGTTTACTAGTATGTGACCAATTATTGCACTGATTTATGATAATGGAAGATATAATACTGGTTCTAGAAGTTTAATTATAACCATACAATTATTAATGACCTATACAAAGGGTGTGTGAGTGTGCATTAATACAACCACAGGAGCTAGCACAGTTACCATAGTCTTGTGGATAGTGTTATGCCATGTTGGTTTCTTTCTTTGTGCCATATATGTCAAAGTTTCCCAATGCTTCTCAAAGAATGGAATGATTTCCTAAAACAAAACATTGTGTGATATAATTTAAGAGTAAAAAAAAAAATGCAGAATTTGATATTAAATAATAATGTCAATATTAAAAGCTGGGGAAATTCATGCAGTTTTAAAATAAAGAAGCTTACATTAAAATACAACATTCACGCTATAAAAATCATTTCATCATCTAAATATCTTTAGATGAATTACTGAACATAGAATACATAAGGTGTTTTATGAAAAATAGCCTGTAACCAGCCAATTTGCCTAGAAATAAAACACGTCTCGTGCTCTGAAAAACTGTATACCATTTCACATTAATCTGTTAAGGTATCTCACTTACAGTGTCCTTAGAAAATATCCTAGTTGGAGCATTCTGATAGGTAAGGTTTGCAACAACTGTGTGGCACATCTGGCTGAAACCTTATAACGAAATGTAGGTAGACTGAGTATTTATGGATATCAAAGCCATTTTTATTTTCTATTAATCAAAATCTGATCATAAATTTTATGAAAACGGAATTCTAGCCTGGTTGCATGACTGCCAATGTTTGATATAGTAAGTTATTATAAATTTTTTTTTTTTTTTACAAAAATTAAACAGATTTTGTAAATGGATAATTTTTCTAGCAGTATGTTACTTGGGTGAAACTAACTGGCTTGCTTTTTGGTGAAGCTTTCCAATCCATTTGGATTACACCTCTTGCAGATGAAGTGGTAATTTGTCATAAATGGAAGACATTTGCTGAAAAATGAAAATAAAATTTTATCATTCACTGAATAGCAGTTTATATATAAACATTATTTTCCATTTTATATTTAGGCTGAAAAATAATGCAAATTACCTAAAGAAAAATATTGCAGTATAATACATGCATGTTTCAGACATTATTTTAGGTTGGAAGAAAAAAGTGGGCAGAAATGAATCAGTGGCCCCACCACTGGGTGTCTGGGGGCCAGTCAAGGCAGAAAAAACAAATTTAAATTGAAAAAAAAAATCATGTGCTTTGCCAAAGCTCTAACATATTCAGCTATTAAATTTCCAATAGGACCTTCCAATTCAATTAAATATTCCAATTTCTGTTCTGTCAAACTCTTACCCTAAATAACAACTGATACACTCTGAGTGGTAGAATCTGAGGCAGGAGGCACATTGAAGTTCTACAGATCCAAGGTTACGGTCCTTGCCACTATAAGGTATAATACATGAAAGTTATATACAGTTTACTTTGAAATAGCAAATCTTTGCATGAATATTTTTGACATCAATAATACAATGCTTCATTTATTTAATCCTACAGAACTGTATCTTGAAACAGTTGGGTTGATATTTGTTTTTAACATAACTGGTAGAAGAAATACCACACTTAATCGAAATAAAATAATAATAATAATATACCAATAACATAGTCCACCTTCTTCATCGTCTGTTGTGTTTTCTTTGTCCTGTGCCATACTGGGGCTGGAATCTTTTAGCATTTCATCATCTCCAGATGGTGGTAAGTCTTGTTCTGATGATGCATCATAACTGCAATTAAAAACCCTTGACAATTTCAAATTTTAAAAGTAGATCTTGTAGTTTTCAACCCGACTTTAAGTTTAACAGTTGTCTTGGCATTTTAGATCTAGACTAAACATGATTGCAAAAGGTAAGGAGAAACATGTAGAAGGCTTTTCGGTTTGATCTCTGTCAGTCTCCTCCAGTTTCTCCGGCATTAGCAATGACAGTAAATACATAATGTCATGTCACCTTATACATCGGCTGTTCGATCACTGTCTAAATACAAACAGAGGCCAAAATTGACTTGTATATAACTAATTTATATATATTACATATAAATAGTAAACAACTACTCAGAACCACACTTTTCCATGCATTATTTGCGCTTTTACTGCATTTACAGACGTGTTCAAAGAGCCGTGTTTTGATACAAACCCGGTTCCCAGTCCCGCTTCTGTGTCGGCCATTTTGAAACACATTGATGCTGCGAGAGAACTCGAGATGTGCGGTTTGCTGCTTTACACAGTTATAACATCAAAAACACAAAGTTCTTCATAGCTAGAGATTATTAACAGCATTTATAAATTTATTGCACATGTGTTTATATCATTTTCAAAGCTAATACGACAGGCAGTCATTGCCAAATCCGTGACCTTAACTTTAGTCATGTGACTTCAGGTGCCCGAGATTTACGCCATCTTTGTTGAAGAAGAAAACGGAGTCATGGCTTTTGGCTCCAAACAGACACGTTAGTAACAAGAAGGGATAAACTATGGTCCTCTGTTTAGCTCTATACGCAGAGATTTTCACTTGGGTTGTTGTAAAATGATTTCACAACGAGAGGTTTGCCAAAGAGCAAGTTCTGCTGTCTGGTAACTCGGAAGTGTTGACAGCTCCCACTCAGTTCTCTCATCGCAAACGGTAACGCCTCCTTCTAACATAGAAAAGAGCATTAAAGTGAATGACAGCTTTATAAATTCAACATGAAGAAACTTTTTTCGAAGATAGATGGCTCCAGCGTGGCCAGCAGTCTTATTGGCAAGGTTTTCAACGTGGGGAGGATGTCGGTGACGGTGGAAGAAGTTATTGCGGAAGGTAATTTTAGACACCGGTTTCAAGAAGTAACTTCAGTTACTAATTAGTTTTTCGCCTTGTAATAGTGCAGTTGTGACTTTGTATTTTCGTCTGTTAAAGATAAGATACTCCCTTCCTTTTTAAAGTCCCTGTTATACCCTTGTTAATTAAGTGTGGCTTTTATTATCAAAATGTTTGGCTTGACTTATTACCTCGTGTGTAAATTCAAATCCTTAAACCTGTTGGAATACTGTATTGTAGTTTGAAGATCTGGGAAAAACCATCTCAGAAAGTTTGGTTTAACACAAAACTTATACCATACCATGCACATGATTTCCTAGAGACTTTTATATTCTCCATCAAAGCGACATTCTATGTGTAAAAGTACATTTTCCTGATTTGTTAAAATATTTTGTCATGCCACTGCCTTATTTTACATGTATAATTCATCATTTTCATTTTTTTAAAATATGACCGTATTAACACCTTTATCATTATCACTGTCATTCTCTTAAATTCACATTTTCACATAGGTTAGAATGAAATTTATTTGATTGCGATTGATGTACTTTAATATTACCTCTAAATAAGATAATAATTTTAAAAAAATAGAAAAAAAATTCTGATAAAATTTTTTAATGTATAAGACTATAATCCTCATCATTATCATCAAATTTGGATACCATATGACTTTCAGTCTTCGAAGTGTGCGGAAAAGTGTGATACAAGATGGTTTTCAGGGCTGTTTAGAAAAACATTTTTGTTTTGATAAGAATATTTAAGGATATCAGCCTGTTGTGTACAATATGACTGACACAAACTTTGTTTTTCATTTTACTTTCTGCAAGCTTACTTTTCCAGATTTTTTAAAATAAGGTTTTCTTTTATAAATTTTAGGTGGATTTGCCATAGTGTTCCTAGTAAAAGCTCAAAACGGACAGCGTTATGCTTTAAAGCGTATGTACGTTAATAATGAACAGAGTCTGGCAACCNAAAAGCATTTTTGTTTTGATAAGAATATTTAAGGATATCAGCCTGTTGTGTACAATATGACTGACACAAACTTTGTTTTTCACTTTACTTTCTGCAAGCTTACTTTTCCAGATTTTTTAAAATAAGGTTTTCTTTTATAAATTTTAGGTGGATTTGCCATAGTGTTCCTAGTAAAAGCTCAAAACGGACAGCGTTATGCTTTAAAGCGTATGTACGTTAATAATGAACAGAGTCTGGCAACCTGTAAAAGGGAAATACAGATTGCTGTAAGTACTTTACACACATCTTGTAACAAACAACATTGTAGGGAAAGAAACAATTAAAGGAAATGTGACAGTAATCATTATTATTATTATCATTATTTTTATTTATTTATTTATTTATTTATTTATTTATTTATTTATTTATTTATTTATTTATTGTATTTGCTTAAATTTATTTTAAGAACCACTTATTGTAGAGTAGTTAAGATGTATTAAAGGGACTCTGTAAGAGGGATTATTATTGTTCAATCACACTTATGTTAGAAGTTTTGTTTAAAGCTTTAGTTTTTAACATTAGAACAGTGATCAGTAAGCTAATTATTTGGCCGCAAACATTATTTTGCCACAAACTATTTTTTAATACTCACAAGTCACTATGATGTCACTGCAGACTTAAGATGTTGGAATAACTTTGAAATGTATCTGTGAGCACTGACAAAATATTAGTCTGTGAAAGAAGAACATTTGCTAGCAATTTACATAAACTGATGTACTAGTTTCGACAAAAGCTATTTATTTGCTAAATATGACCTTTTTTCCTCATAGAATTATTTGTTCATATTTCTTAGGAATAGACATAAATCAATATTTGCAGTACCTCTGATTATAGTAAGTTATAGGAACTATAACTTGTAAATGTCTGAAATAAAATGCTAGGCCATTTTGAAGTTGTGAATTTGAAAGAAATGTATTTATTTCTTCTGGTTTGCCCATTTTCTGCTAAATGAAGGCTATTGATTCAAGCATTCATGTCAGTTTCATACAATTGACTGTTTTGTGATATTTCAGAGCTCTTTATCTGGTCACAAAAATATCATTAGCACAGTTGAGTCCAGTATACGGCCGACTGGGAATGGCATTTATGAGGTGCTGATTCTTATGCAGTATTGTAAAGGTAAGAGTATTATGTTACAGAGGAACCAGTATTAGGTCATGTTAGCTGGAGCCAGACTTCTAAATTTTTAATTTATAATATGCAAGAAATTTTTAATTTATAATCTGCATTTGCCCTGTAACAACTGGTTAGTCTTGAAACTTTTTAATCCTACTCATTATTTACAAGTTGAAACACATACAGTAGTATTACAGAATTTTTATAAAAACTTTGTCAGGTTGGAAATGATATGGACATTTTTTATCAGTAGTGAAAAGGCATTCTGAAAATCAATACAAATAGAATATATTTACTGAATGATACAGTCAAGTCCTGAATTGTTGCTGCACTATGCTGCACTAAAATTGAATGACAGGATATTAGTTAGAGCAACCACACGCATCTGGAGTCTGTCAGACCAAATTTGAAATGTCTGGCCCAGAATTTGTGTTCTGTCTACAATATTATTGATTGAATATCAGGTTATGATGCCAGCCTCATGAATATAAATTGTAGTGTCAAAGAAATACTGTGCAGTATATTGTAATTTATCCAATTATTTATGCATTACACTGAATAGCTAGATGTATTTGACCTCTATTATGGCAAAATTTCTGATATAAATCCCCATGTTTAAAAGGTACTGTACAGATGTGTGAATTTATGCTGAATATAAGATACCGTTAAAAGTACCTAGTATGCAACTAACCAGCACAGATTAGTAAAATGTCTTAGCTGATGAGAGTTCAGAACTTTGGCATAAAAACTTCTTTCTGACAATCATCACTTAACTACTGCTTTCAATTTGTTAGAATTTTTTAATCTGCCAAAACATCTATTGTCACTTCAATTACATTAAAATTGTCTTAACCTTTCTGCATTTGAAAAGGACTGATCCATGTTGAACCAGGTACCGTTGTAAGAGTCTTTCTAACATGAAATCGACATTTTTTTTTTCTTGCAGTAGTATTCACTTTCAGACTGCTCTAATGCTGTATAATTCTCTTTCTTTTGTAATGTTCATGTCTGCAGATAACTATGATCTATCCTATTCCAGGTCATATCATCCAGAGCATGAATGACAGGTTAAATTCTGGGGGGTTCTCAGAGCGAGAGGTTCTCAAGATATTCTGTGATATATGTGAAGCTGTGTCCAGGCTGCATCACTGCCAGACACCTATTATACATAGGGACCTCAAGGTAAGAAACCCACAGACTTGGGTGAGATAGGAAGGAAATTGAAAACTTCCTGAACATGTTATGAACTGTATTAAACCTTTATACCTATATATTTATTTGAGCCAGTATAAACATTTTCAACGGGTTTCTACTGCTTATGTACAATTTAATACAATGTGTCATAATTGCAGTACTAATTGTAATGTATGTAAATATGTCTTCAATTAAGATAGCATATGTCACAATTGTTAGGTCATACCTTTTTAAAAATGTGCTGGAACCAATAAAGATTCATTGATTGATAAAATATTAATACTTTTGAAATCAAGCATTTTTTTCTCTCATACCTTAAATTGAATTTTTCAGGTAGAAAATGTGCTCATAGAATCAGGAGGAAACCATGTGCTCTGTGATTTTGGCAGTGCGACAGCAAAGTTTTACAACCCCCAGGTTCATGGGGTGAAGCATGTGGAGGAGGATATACATAAGTAAGAATGACTTTTATATAATTTTGTGTTAAGGCATAATCCATATTAATATATATGGTAATAGCTATTTCTTTCAATGGGCAAAAATTATCAAACTTTCAGATAAAAAACTATATTACAATATAGCATTGTGGTGCTTTTACTGCATAGAATAGAACTAGAGAGAATCCGTTTTTTTTTAAATTTTGTTGCTATTACTTAATAGGAATGTTCTAATTAAAAAAAATTGACAATATCTATAAAATTCACAATTTTCTCCCATTGAAATGATTCAGTAATTACCCTATATAAATAAAGTTCTCATTCCTCCCTGCTTGTGGCATCCTAAATACAGCCAAAAAAAATGACATTGATTATTTTTAGACTCTTGGTTTTGTGATGATGATTATTTATTTATTTATTTATTCATTTATTGTTCTAGGTACACAACATTATCATATCGGGCTCCAGAAATGATAGATCTTTATAGTGGGAAGTTAATTTCAACAAAAGCAGACATATGGGTAAGTCTTATTGTGTTTGGATGTGCATATGGCTATTTATCTTGATTGGATCTCATTTTTGTCATTATACAATTAGACTGTAGTTATAGCATATATTAAATGCATAGAAATACATTCAGATCTTTTCCTGAAGAATTTCAATATAAGCATTAATTGTGTGATATGTGTACTCAAATAATAAGCTGACAATAAGAGATTGATAACAGTTGTGATATTTTACATCATAGCATTGTGTGAATGGTTTTGTTTGCAATTGTGCCACCATCCTTTGTAGGTTTAAGTAATGTGTTGCCTTCCATAAACCAACCATCCAAAATAACACTAATAATTTTGAATTGAATTTACTTTTAATTTGTTGAAAACCATACAATTTCTAATAAATGTTGTCTGTTTTTGCCAGTCCCTAGGGTGCTTACTGTACAACCTGTGCTTCTTCAAGTTGCCATTTGGAGAGAGTAGTTTAGCCATACAGAATGGAAACTTTACAGTGCCAGATGATTCTAGATATTCCAAAGAGATGCATGGACTTATAGGTAAGCAGTTAATCAGGAGATTTTGAGCTATGTCTCGTCAAGGAGTAAACAGGATGTATCAGATATATGGATTAGTCTAGGAGGTGACTTATCCTTAATAATCTTCTGGTAATGAGAACACTGAAGATGTAATAACATCATTTACATCAGTAGATATCAGAGCTAAAAGTTATGAAATAGGAGACCATCAACTTTTATTATTGTTACCCTGAACAGACCCATAATTAGTAGGCTGTTCTGATACTGAGAATTAAATCTGGTTATAATGTTTTATGTTGTAGGTTACAATATCTATATAAATGGGTGATGACCATTAACTGTATTGTGGTAGTATTACTTCAGCCAGAAAATTCAAAATTTAAAAATTTTATGGTACATCACTGAGCATTTTAAATTCAATCATATATATATTAATGCATGAATTTTTTTTTATTTACAGACACTTACAGAATTACTAATTAGATTTCATGTTATCTTAAAATGTAACCACTGTTTATTCTTTGATTTTTCTTAAAATGAAGATGCTAGATTTTCAGACAAATCTTCAATATGAAAAAGTAAGAGATTTTAAACTTTTTTTAGCATTCATGCTTGAAGTAGACCCAGATAAAAGACCAGACATTTTTCAAGTTTCACATGTGGCATTTCTGCTGGCAAGAAGAGAATGTCCTGTGCCAAATTTACACGTGAGTATATATGCTGATTATTTATTAATTATCCATTGCTTTCAAAACAAAGATGGTATAGTTGAAAGTACACATATATTTTAGGCAGATGGTGGTATGATAATGATGAAACTAAAAAAAAGCTTTCATTATTGGGGCGTGTGCCATCATTAATTTCCTTTTAATAATTATTTCAAGCATAGAGATTTGTACAGATAAACACAATGGAGGCTATTGGTTTGTCAGAATTTCTACAACTTGCCTTTAGGTAATTAAATTGAATATATTTTATCTGAATTATTCATTAAACAATGTAGAATTTTTTGTCCAAACAGAATAGTCCAGTGCCAGATATTACGAAGCTGCCTAAAGCTATTTCAGAGAGTGAAGCAAGGGCAATCAAGACAACAATGTCAAGGTAATTTTGCCACTTATCAAAAGAAAGTCATTCATGTCTGCAGAGTTTGCATTTTACTTCCAAGTCAATTTTTAGAAGAGGAAAAAAAATAAATGTTCTTTTTTTAAAAAAAAGTCAAGGATTCCACCATCTGCTAATAGAACATAAGTCAAGTTTTGTATTAACTATTTGTAATATGGGCAAAAAACGATAATAATCATGATTATCATCTTTGACTTGCAGATCAGTTCAAGCTCCAGTTGTGGAAAGCACCACTATTGCTCCTAGACAAAGACCTAAAGGTCAAAGCATTCCAAACACAAAAAGTAACCTTGGTCTCCCTGTGCAGACCTCTGTAGCACCTAGAAAAAGGCCCATGGGGAGCAACTCGACAACTCCTGTTGCTGGTCAGTTATATAAGTTGTCTATATGTAGAGTATTCACTTTGAGCTTACCTTGAAATATGCAGTGATATTAAAGATATATATACACTGAATTTATTGATGTTTATTGAAATTGGGTTGATTAAACATAGATAACATGATTGTAAATTAATGAATATATTAGAAATTTATTAAACCTGTAGTTTATTTTTCTCTAGTTAAAAAAAATAACACAGTGTCTTTTTAAAAGCTGCTCATATTTTCTTTTCCTGCTTGGTTGATATTAAAGAGAGTACTGCAGATCAATTGGTTTTTCTAGTTTTATTAATGGAGTGTGATATGATTTCATTTCAGAAGCACAGCAAGGTTTCCCTTCTGCAGCCAGCCAGGCATTGACCTCCCCCGCACAGCATCTCTTCCCCCAGCAGAACAGTGCCAATCATCAACAACAGTTACATTATCAACAGCAGGAACAAAAGCAACATCAGCAGCAACAAATGCACCAACACCACCTTCAGCAGCAACATAATCAACAACAGCTCCAGCAGCAGCAGCAGCAGCAGCAACTTTTGTACCAGCAACAACTTCAACAGCAGTACCAACAACAACAACAACAGGCTTATTTACAACAGCAGTATCAACAGCAAGTTGCCCAGCAACAACAACAGGCTGCCCAGCAACAACAGGTTGCCCAGCAGCAGCAGGTTGCCCAACAGCATCAGCAACATCAGGTGCTCCTTGAGCAACATAATAAACAGCAAGCATCTGCTGGTTTCTTCCCTAATGCTACCTACCCCGCTGTTGGTGGGTATCAGATGGGGCCAATGCTGAAAGAGACAGCAGGAGGACCACAGATGGATGGTTTCAAGGTTCCTGAACCACCAAAACAGAGATCTGGAAAACAGGTATATCTTGCATACATGAATCAAAATTTATAGTATAAAAAATTGACCCTTGTCTAGCTGTTTATTCCAAGTTTATTACTTTGGCATGCCCTTAAGTTCTATAGATCTTAACTTGAGTGATGATTTTACCTTAACATTGAAGATTATTTGAAGTTCATGGTAAAGATGGACTCAGCACCCACCTGTTAGTCACTGAAAAATTATGACACCTCAATTGAATTTTTTTTATCTATGTAATTTTTCAGCAAGATAATCAGCCTCTCCTAGCATTAACTCCACCTGAGTCGCCTAAGGCTGTCAGACACCGCAGAAATGTTAGCGACACTTCAGCAATCATTTCTCAGGCCGGGAAAAGAAACAGTGCATTCAAGTGAGTAGTAAAATATAGTTCAATACGCTTTGTGCCATTGCAGGCTTAAAGTTTAGAGTAATTATGAGTAGGCTTTTTGTAAATTTATATACCTGTAGTTCACGAAATCCAGAATTCTTATGGAAATTCTTCATGATTCACATAACAACAGTGTATGATGGAGTTTGATATTAACTATCAATGATCAGGTTGAATTTAGTACAAACTATTCATTCATTAGGATCAAAGTAAGAACAAAACATTTATTCCACTGTGGTACATAACCTGGAAGTCACTCTTTCAACTTAGGTACATGTGTATTTTATTTTGTTCATGCCCCCAACTGCACCATTACAGAAATGGTCACAACAAAGTTTTTTCTCCTTTTATTGCAACAAAGACTATTTGAAGGTTTCTGATGCATTTAACATATCAATGTCACATTCATTTATAGGTTTTACAACTCTAACACACAACTGCTAGCCCCTAGTCAAGACGTATCATCTCTCAAGACAAAGTCTGCTTCAGCTACACCCACACATTCTCCCAGCAGGTGAGTAGACACTGACATGCACATACCTCCACACAGGGTGAACTTCAGTCATTGCATGTATGAGGTCCTATTATATGTATAGTGATACACTTCAATACACCATTGTAGACCTGTACCCATGTACAGTGAGGTTAACAGTATATGTAGACTGAGTAGCTGTGGCTAAGCAAATTGTGCAGTTACTGATCATGTGTTTGCTATATAATGGAATTCACTGGAATGCATTGGGCGGTCTATGAATGAAGTTCTCCCACAGATACGCACAAACTACTTCTGTAGAGGCTTTGCAATTGTTAACTACAAGAGGTGTGAACTCCCTAACTGAAAGTACGTTGAGACGGTAAGCAAGCCCTGACATTAAGTCTCTTTTATGCTCAGAATAGTAAGTGCATGGAGTAACTACATATCTTGCTTTCTTAGTCTGAAATGTGACAGCAGAATATTTCCCAGCTATTGAATGCCCAGTTTTATTGTGCATTGAGAAGCTCACCAAATGTACACTAAAATTTGGCCATTCAATAGCTCAGCATCTGGGCCATATTTTGTGACAAAGAAAGATAGTATGAAGTTACTCTGTGCACATATTATTTTGAGTTCAATAATTCTTGTCTTCACATACAAACAAAAACAAAATGTCAGGGCTTACTGATGGGTTTGGGAATTCACTTGAAGTAACTGATTTGTAAATGGAAAAGATATTCAATTGAAGCAACACCTCTTCCACTTTCTCTTGTCAACATTTTCATGTTTTTATCTTCTATCTTTTTTCTCCAATGATAACTTTTTTACAATGAACAAAGGGTTTTTAAACAAACTTTCTCTTACAGAACCCCACCCAGAGCCCTTTCTGCAAATTTCTCTGACTGGAACCCGTTTGGGGATGATTTTGGTGCACTAACAGAGGATGCAATATTTGGGAAGGAATTTGATAAACTCAGGAGAGGATCAAACAGCAGTAAGTAGAATTAATATTCTTTTTTGACTTGTGTTAAATACACTTAAATTCCCCCAACTGCATTTTGTGCATCTTGACCCATAAACTTCTAGATTTCTAACACAAACTTTATTGTATTTGATAACTGCCAGAAAAATGCTTATTTATTGATTGTTACAAAGTTGAGAAGACCATGGATTCTGTGTTTTGTAAATGGCTTACTTTAAACTGTGGAGTAACTCAAAGGGGTAAACAACCAAACCAGAAACTTGTTGAGTAAGTAGGTAGCTGCTGAATGCCCAGACTTTATTGTGCATTTAATGAGCCTTCCAGTGTATTTTAATGCCACGAAAATTGGGCATTCAGTAGCTGAGCAACTGGGCTACATCTTATGGGCGCATTTGGAATGAAGAAAGCGAAGATTAATAGTTTCTCCATGCATGTATCAGTATGGTTTTGAGTGAACTACGTGTAGAAGAGACAGTGTCGGGTCCTCCCTATATTCTCAAAGCACTTCTGGTTTGGAAGTTACCCCCACTTGCTTTGGAATTACTTTCCACATCAGTAAACTTGAAATTACAGACTCCTGTGGCCATAGCCATCCAAATTCTGCAATCAAGAGGGTTTTGTCTTGTTTTTACTTAATAAAAGTGAAGTGGTTGTTTTAAAAGCATACCTGCATATTATGAGCTCCATTTGTTTACTCATACTTATTTGCCAGTGCCTCTTTCAGACTGAAAAGAAGGCAAAATGTGGAAAAAGAAAGGATTTAGTTGCAGCACAGAGGCTCCCTTACAAACAATTCCTTTTCTAGGTATATCAAATGTGAAAAGCCGTGAAGATTTAGTGATGGATGACGATGGAGAACAGGATCCTTTTGGTGCTGCACCTTTTGCCCCACCAAGTGAGTAGTTTTCAGAGGGTTGTTATGTACCACACGTGAGGTTTATGTGATATTTGGACAAGGGAACTATGATTATGTACATAATTTAAAGTGATATGTGTATAAAGGAATATGATCAAAAGGTGATTTCAAAATGATTCAAAATCAGCAAACCAATATAAGCTGATTTCATCCTGAAAGATGTATCTTTTGATTTTGTGGCACAAGGGGGAAATCGAGTTGAGAGCATTAATTATCAGTGTTAGGGACTCCATGATTTTTGTAGAGTGCAACTTTATTTGTATTAGGCTTAGCACTATTATGTTATTTCTCTACCCTGCAAGAGTTTTCACTGAGCCTTTTAATCAAATGAATATATTCTGTTGGTGATAAAAGAGATCTGTTTGTAGCATCTAGTCTTTATTATTGATCTCAGAGGACAGCAGGAAAAAGGGACACTTAGATCATATTTAGTTATTCAGTTTTTGAAGTGACAATTAACAACATCTACAATAAAAAAGAACAAGTGCAGTTTATCTGGTTTGTTTGTTTTTCCCATGATGATAGAACATGGAAAAAATTCATTTTGCCTCATATCTATTAGTCAGCCATCAGAGCCAGGTATCATAGTTGGATTCAAGCCCATATTCCGTGATGACTCTCTATTTCAAATACCTGAACAACAGACTTTTGTACATAGAGGAGATGCCTATTACAGTATTTAGAACCTACTGAGTCGGATGCTGTAATGTCCTCATATCATACTTTTTGGTAGAATTACTGCATAAATGTGGCTGCCAGTTTTGTCCAATATTGCTGGAAGACTTGGGTTGTGCTATTACACATTCCGTCAGTTACCTGCGAACCTTTCTCACATATACATATACATGAAGAAATGGATTGAATATTAAAAGGCACTGTGGTATGGATGGCTTTGTGGCAGCCTAAGTGAGTGGATGTCTTTTTTATGAATAATATACACCAAGCATGGCAATGTCTTAGGTCATCATGTTGTTAGAGTTATGTCACTTTAATGGCCCAATAGGAAACTCTATCATTTAACCGTAAGTTCCTCAAAAGATAAGCTGCAATTTATGCTTTACGTGTGTTTAGTCACTAGTTTTTTCTCCTTATTCAAATTTTCAAAGTTCAAATGGAGGATATGTTGCAATTTTTAGTAAATAATTTATTTGTTGGGATTGATGGGACCATTGGTATTGTTAGAGCCATAGATCTCTCTTTCTATCTCACATTATCTTGGTATGATATATATATATATATATATATATGCACATTCAAGCTTCCTTTGTAGCAATTTCAAGTTTGTTCATTTCCAATAGTTATTGAAGCAAGTTTCATTTTTGGCACAATTCCTTGAAATTTTACAAAGTCATCACTTTTTTCATCTCCACATTATATCCATTTAATTAATCCATCACTTGGAAAGCAATTTCATGTAGAGCAAATATTAGGTTTTTGTCATGGTAAATACATTTTAATAGATTGTTTGTCTTTTTTTAATTTTGTGTATTCTTGTTTCTGTTTACATTTCTTTTTCCCCCATGGTGTTTTTGTTTGATATGAAGTTCAGTAGATCTTCATGGAAACAGTTAACCATGCTCATTGTTAATGTCCTCAGGCAGACTACACCTCTTAAAGCCTCTAGTTTTGTTTGCCTCTTGTCAGGATTAGATTAACTCAATGTTTTAATGCTTTGATACTCATGGACAATTTTAATGATTTCCTAGAAGTTATAACCAAATGTGCTTAATCCCATGATGGGAATAGCAGTATATATCCCTTGTATTTTCACCTTATAATTTTATTCATTTTCTTATGCTAAGGGTAGTCATTTTATTCCTTCAAGTAAGGATTTAAGATTACATATGGTAGTTGTAAGGCAGAAAACCCCTTGGTCTTTCCTTAGATTTGTTAATTTCCTTACTCTTGAACTCAACGTTGGAGAACATGATAGTTCGCATTCATTTAGCAGCATTTTGTGAACAAACCGACTCCCACTTGCTGTTTCCTCAGGAGTTGCATATTCATACTAATTACTGATTTACAGTGGCACCATGATTCAAAATTCACATTTCATGTCCACAAGCCAATCAGATCCATTGTTGGTGTTCCACATGGCTTTGCTGTATGTAAATATATATTATTTGGAGTACTGAGGACAAATGTATATGGTCTCACTGAAGTCTTGGAAGGGGGGAGAATCAGATTTTTTGAGCTGAAAAGCTTACAAATGTAAGGAGTATATAGGCTTGTGCTTATCTTTCCTGTCCTTTTAATAAACATGGAATTATTCATTATTTCATGATTAACAAATTCACTAAATTAATTTGAATGCTGTGTTTGTAGATGCTTGTGCCTTAAAAGTTTTCCCTCAAATTGATAAAATAGGCTTATGTCCAATTAATGCTATGTTCCTAGGTGGGATTTTGTAGAATTTAATCTGGATAATCTGGATAGACAAATGCATAGAAACTAATTACCAATATTTCTCCCGCTTTCTTTCTGTTCCGTCAGTATCTGACTCTCATCGTCCTTTGGGTTTCAGGGTCAAGGTCACAGCAAGGGAGTGGGGCCACTTCCAGTTCTGCTTGTAGTTCACTAAAACCACATGGAGGTAAATGAGAGCTCATCCAGTCCACGTTTTATGCTTTCACCATGGACACACGACTCTTCCCCACTGCACATGTTAACTCGTATCGTAACCAGGCTACTTGATACCCGTGTGTGTGTCATGATGGTGGCGTATTTCAACATAACAGTGTATTTTACATATCGTTTATGACTGTGGCTCTCTCATATACAGGATGCAATGTATATTTTGCTTGGAGGAGATGTAAATTATAATCTGCAGATGAGAACACTGCATGTTGTGGACACGTATATTTATATTATATATATATATCAACACTGGTGTGTAGGACATTTTAGCATGTGGGTATTTTACTGAGCAGTGGATTTCTTTTAAATCTTTTAGTTCGTTTCTCTCAAACATAAGAAAATTATTTATATCAGACCAGATGTGTGTAATTTCATTTTAGAAGTGAGCTAAATTCTACTTTTTAATATCTGTGCTAAGATAAAAATTGATTTACTTTTTAGAAAATTTTGTGCGCTATTGCTTATAAGGTTTCGTACAGCATATAGCAATGCACATTTAAAGCTATTTTATCTTTTCTTTTTTATTTGTTGAATTTCTGTCAGAATCTTCATATACAGACACGTAAAACTTCTTTTATCTCTAATATGTATATATAAGACTGAAATGATTGATGAACCATGTGACACATTCAAAAATTAAAAGAAGCCTGAATTCTGTGATTTTTAATAAAAGTGATGCTTATCATGATCAGCTGCTGACTAGTGTTGTTGAGTGAGCATTTGAATGCTGCATCCTGGGGATTCCATGGCTTAGGTAATGCTGAATGTGCCCAGCATGTGCCAAGTGATATGATTTCTGTGTATTTGTCACAAACACTGTGTGATGGGCTTGTATGCACCTACCTGGAATGTGGTCGATCGGGTTGGGTCACATGTTGGGAGGTGTATGGTGAATAAAATTACGCACTTTGTCTGGATAAGAAGAGATGAAAAATGAGTACCTACAGGGGTATAATCACACAAACAAGAAAGTCAACCTGAAACCACTGTCTTATTTTTAGTCAAATGGGAGACCTTTGCTTTCGTATTTAGATATTATTGATGTCATCATGTCTGGTGGTTTTACCACACACCTTTCACCTGGGTGATTACTAGTACATCTTATGTTACATCATTTGTGTCTTACATCTGGGTGAATTATACATGCATGAATGTCTTCCTGTGCTTTTGGCATGCTGAAAATTTCCTGCTTTGTGAATCCTTTCTAGTTGTAGGCATGATGTATTACATTGGCACCTTTGTTCTGGTGTTTTGTAGTCTCTGCCGTCAGTTGTCTTATGCAGTGGTTTGGAATGCTGCAGCTGAGAAATTACACTGTTGTTGTTTTCCACAGGTGTTTTTGACTCATGCAGTGTTGCCTTTTTTTTCTTTGCAGCATTCAAATGTCTCTCTTTCTCTCCACATCTCAGTTTCTGGTTTTAGCTGGTGTTTGTGTGTGCACGCTCATGCATACATGTGTGCAGCTTTGTAGTTTATTTTTTAATTGAGTGTTGAATGAAATGATGGCAATTCTGTGCATTTCTTACTTCTTGTTATTAGATGGCTTCATCAGAAATCAATGCATTTGTGGATTTCAGTTGACCTCATTTCATTCTATATATTAGCAGAGAATCTATGGGCACTTTCATGATAAGCATAGCTTCTTGAGAACTCAAAGTGACATATTTAAACAACATAGCATTATTGTAAGGATAGTGCTCTGAAGGGCTATTCGAGAATTTATCCAGTGATTTTTATCATCTTATTAACAATTTGCCACATTTTGAGATATATTATGATTTTGATTATTTTTAAAGACATTCCCAGGATGAGGTGAATAAGCATGAAAAGTAAGGCTGTCATATGTGTGTATTTCACTACAGTACATTACTACGTGATAGTAGTTTGACTGAAAATGAAGCTTTGGTAATTTTCAACGAAGTCTGGTTCAAAAGTTTCTTCTTAGCAAATTGTATTCTTCAAAAATGGGATCCATTTCCAACAGGACTAAATGAAATGAGGCCACCCATTAAGGTTTTTGAGTTTATATTTGCAGTTGAAAGTTAGCAATTTCATATTGCTCTCAATTAATCCTGACCTGGAACAAATTGGTTGTTTGTTGTAACTAGGATTGTAGGCATAAAGTTCTCAACTAACCCAAGTATCCTGGATAAATAAATTTGAATATGAGTAGCTGACATATTCTAAAGTAGGTATTCATAAAGATCATGTCAATTTTCAAATTTGTATGGGGAATTTAACGTATTTGCCACTGGAAGTGTATGCTTATCTTGAAAGTGACCACTTTTGATTTGAGTGGTGCCATCTGTGTTCAGCTACCCATTTTTACCCATTTTATTTGATACATTTTGTTGTTAAATTTTTTGGTTATACTCCCAACAAAGTTGGGACTATACGAGGATCAAGTTGTCTTTCTGCCCATATGCAAAATTTTGCCATCTACAGATTTCAATAAGTCTCTTATCTCTAAACCTTCACTTAAAAACCTCCAGATTTGCTTATGATCCTGGCTTTCACTTCTTGAATTAAATAAATATTTTTACATACTAAAAGAAATTATAAATTTGAATGAACCTTAGTATCCAGCACCTTTAGAGAGGTTATTTTTTCTTAACTTTCGAACATAATTTGAAATGGGCAATATGGACAACCCATTTCAGAGCAAAAGACTCATGGGGCTCATGGATGAGATTGATAACAGTTCATCTTGGCCTATTTTTCCAAGGTCAGAAGTCATCTTTTAAAAAAGAAATAAAATGTTGACTTTGTTTACTCCATTTTCCCCTACCTAGAACAGTGTTGGGGGATATTGATCACAATTGGTGATCTTAATGTTTGATTTCGATCAACTTACAATGTGAGTGCATATGTAATGGAAATCTTGTTTTGTAATGTAAGATATGTTTTGCTCCATCTCTTTGTGTAAATTTACTTATAGTGTACAATTATTTATTTTCAAATGATATGACCTAAGTCATTGACTGTTTTATGGTTTGATTTGCAGATCGTCAGACAAACTCTACAAAGGCAAGTTCTGTGCACAGCACGTCGCTGGAGTCTACAAAAACCAGGAATTTGCTGGAGGCAGCTGTAGGGCTTATGAAGAGCTCTGCTGGGGATGAGTCAAGATACCATAAGTTTGATGATGTGGCCTCAAACAAGAACACCAAAGGTTCAAGGTATCGCCAGTTTGTAGACAGTGGCAGTGATGACAACCCAAGCCCTAGTGAGGATACCAGGGAAAAAAGGGACAAAGAAATCAAGGTAGTAAGTGACTCTGGGAGAAAAGAGAAGTTTGGGAAAAATTTTCCTCACGCTCAGCTCCACAAAAAGAAGGCAGATTCCAGCTCAGAAGGACAGGTGGAAAGTGAGAGTTCTCACAAAGATGTGAAACCAGAAGACTTTGGTTATGAGGAACTGGATGATGAATTTGGTAGACGGCATCCTATGGCTCCGGACAGCCAATCAGAACTTAGCTTTGAAGGAGTGTGTCAGTCTTCTCAGCTCAGTGCAAGTTGTTCTGAGAACCCTGCTGTTGAACCCGTAGCTGAGGAATCTCTGCCTGTTCAGCACGATAGAATTGTGGGACATGAATGTGGTGTCAAACCCCTTCTAGATGATGATGAACTGTCGGACACAGAATTCACAAAACCAGCCAATCCTTTTACCAAAGAACAGGTGTATCTGTCTAGTGGACGCAGCAGCTCTGCTTATAGCAACAGCCTTCTTTCATCCCCTACATCTCCACAGTCAGATGACTTGAAACTAGAGTCTGCTGATCCTTTCAGTGCTGCTCCTTTTCCATGGAGAAAAGGTACAAAGAAACGGAAGACAAAATCCAAGTCCAAAGACACTGATAAAGACAAAGGTTTATTTGAGAATGCCCCTTCTTTCAAGGGTGACAGACCCCTAAGATCTACTAGTCCTGAAAAGGAGGGAGGGCATGAGTTGGTCAACCCTCTGTTTGAAGGTCATGAGACATTACACGAAAATTTCTCACAAAATCAGGGCTATGGTCAACATTCCACTGATCAGGCACAAGGCTATTTTAGATCTCCAGCTCAAAGTCCTGAACAGGCTCTCTTGCAAAGCCAAGAATCTATTGGATATGGTCAGGGGAAATCTGCTTTTTCCCAATCATCCTACGGGCCTAGATTTCACCCCAAGATTTCGTCAGCAGATGATGTGTCCCCATCATCCACACACACACATACAGTTTCCCCTATAGCGGAGCTCCCACACAGTATGGCTCAGCACAGCTTTGAGGATAATTTTGTCGCATCCTCCCTTCCAGCCTTTGCTCAACCCCAACCAGCACATTACAGTCATCCACAGCAAATGGATGCTGTTCAGAATGCCAGTTTTTACAGCCAAAATATAGGTTATCAGACACAACATCCATCAGGCCATATATTCACCCAGAACAGTGGAGGGGGTATGGGAGGTGTAGCATCGCCCCACTCTCCTGTACAGGTGAGACCTCCCCAGCAGCAATCCACAGGAGAGGATCTATTTGGTGCTGTACCATTCCAGAACATGACCACACAGCTGATCATGCCACAGAACAGGCCCACTGCCAGGCATGGGGGTGGACCTCATGTAATCAGTGTGCTCCCAGGGGTTAGAAAGACCACGCCTACCAGGGCTAGGAGAAGAAGTGGAAGCAGGCGGCGGTCGAGTAGTTCAGGGAGCGATGGAAAACCCAGTCCTAGGTCAAGTAAGAAAAAGGACAGGTCAAAACCTGTAGATGAAAACCTTGTTGCTATGGTTCCTGGCGAGGAAGGCGGTAGTAACAGTGGCACCCTTAAGAAGAATAAATCCAAACAGAAGAAAACTCCACGTGATAAATCAGCTACAGCATTCTCCAATGAGGGGTTCTCTAACATGAGTTTTGATGACCAGGATGACTCTAAGGGACAGGAGCCTGCCTGTGTGACCCCTGCCTCCATTCATGCAGCCAGCATGCAGGCTAATTTTGCTGGCAGTGACGCGAGGCTGCTTCATACCAAATCCAGACATACAGAACCTTTCTCAGTAAGCAAAAAGAAAGGTCTGCTTAGCTAACTATTCATGTATGGCAGTTCATACAGGATTTCTATTTCTCTGTAGAAATTTGAAACAGCTTAAATTGCAATCAATGTCATAGTAAGTTAATTTGCTTAAATTCTTTTAATCTCAATCTTTGAAAGTTGTATCTGAGAATCATAGATACCGAACAGATGCCATATCATTTTATTTAGATGTATACGTGTAGTTTATTCAGTTTTTTATCAGTGATAATGATAATGCTGTGGTTATTTCTTTTGAATGGGGCAGGTACCTTGTAATGATAATTAGAAGGATGATTTATTGTCACGCCTGGCACAAATTTGTGTATGCTTCTTCTAATGCAATTAACTTGTAATTGGAGATCTTGAGTGCTTGTTTAAAGATGACATTTCCCTGGTAGAATGTTTCAACATCAAGAAAAATTTACCAATATTCCAGAGCTGAAGTAGGTTCTCTTTGTTGACCTTTTTAAAGCTGGTAAAAATTTGATCTGATGCTCTATTTACTTTTTATAATCATTTTCACACTCTGATCCATAAGACAGAGAATATACAATGCACAGAAATTTATAAAGCAATGATTTAAACTCTACACTTATTGATTTTCATAGCATATGTCCAGAGAAAGGAATTGCTTTTCATGTCTTCCATACATGTGAAATTGCTTTAGATAATAATGTAGGCAGCTTGTGACAAAATGGCTCTTGGGTCCTAGTATGAATGTAGGAATTTACTTTTGTTGTCACAAATTGCATGAAGACACTGGGTTTCGTTTAACCAATCTAGGTCTTTATTTTCCAGTGCAATATATAGTTTAAATAAAGTCAGCTGATAAAGATTGTTTTGTTTTGCAATGGTCTTTGTCAGATTTTCTACCTTGTGATGTTATTATGCATTCATTTGTCAACTGAAATTTAAAAATGAAAATCAAATTTGCACTTTAACATGGTACAAGGGTCTATTAGTTGTGCGCAATACCCTCTGAAACATTTTTATAACCCGTTCATTTTTAATTTTACTTTCATGACACTTTTTAGTTCAAAACCCTGTCTGAACTCGTATTCAAGATAATTTTTGACTGAAACTTATTTCTTCCTGTTGTCATTAAAAGATTGCGTATTTAAATATTTTAGAAGCATGGCACATTTATTCAAACTGGTGCACTCGACCTAAAACAACCTCTGGTTCGTCATACTGGTGCGCTCACCAAATGTAACTTAAAGGGATAACTCTTTGTATGAGATCTATATTTCACAATAACAACATTGTGAACAACTCATAGAAATATAATATATTCTGTTTTACCACAAAAACGGCAGTTATAGCTATTATTCTGATATCTGAGCTTGTCTTCAGATCACGTGACCTCCATTGATGGCTATACTCTGTTATAATCTCTTAAGAGATTTTAACAAAAAACCAAACTTTTTAGAAAAAAAACGGGGACTAACTTTAAATGTAAAAATGGATTCATTAACCATTGGTAAGTATGGGAAAATTGTTTACTCCAGGAAAATTCATTTTTTGGTCAAAACGAAGAGTTATTATCCCTTTAATCTGGGGGCATAAGAAGCTCAGCATCTGTGCTACGTTGTATGGTCACAGTTGCGGCGAATAAAGGCAAGATTTGTAGTTAATACATGCAAAGAAGTGTATACATACATACATGCATGCGTACGTACATACAGTGTACATACATTCAAACCTTTGTTTTGAATAATTAAAAACAGGAGCTAAGGTAAGTATTATAACCAAGGATGGACGGATAATGCATCCACCATAATTTACTTTTTTATATACACTGAAAAATTTCCTACTACATAGTGTTTTAATTATACAAAAAAAAGTCACGTTTCCGAGCTGTTTTGGTCGAGTGTGTGCGTTTTTATTTATATTTACTCCAGGGACAAAATGCCAGAATTATTTATCAATTCAACACACTTCCTGCTTTGGAGTTCAACCTATTGACCCGTTGAAAGGTTCCGTGAATGGAAGTTGTTAAATGTACAGGCGGCAATTTGAAGTTAAATCGAAAGTTGTTAAAAGTCATCCTTAACGTCAACTTCATCGTTTTGCCATCGACTGCGTCAGTGCGGAACCTCGATAGTCACTGAAAGTTTTTCTTCAAGGTATCTTATCCTTAATAATGCAAGTCTAGTTCGAAACTGTGTGATAACTATAATTTTGTATGTTTGGGCACTATCATCCAACTCGTAACTCCGTGTACGTTGAAGCCTTACGGACCCATTTTAGATAATTTTGGCATTGTAGACATGTTATCACTTATGTAATGCCGGTGGAACGAACTGAGTGTCCTATGAGACGATAGTCTTAAAGATGCATACAAAGTCAATTTTTTGTCACAAAAACCAACCAAATGCCAGCATATAGTTTCAAGTAGTATAACTAAGAGAATTTCCAAAAGGCATTGTTTAATTTTACCCGAAAATGATGTTTGAACGGATTTTTCTGCTGGCATTCTAAGCTGTATGTCAATGGGGCAGGAAAGTATGTCATGAAAGTAGGTTAAATTTACAACCAAAAATTTAAAGAAAGGAGCAGTCTAAAGGTTTTTTATGGCTGATCGAGTGATCTATTCAGTTAATCCCTTGGCATGTTGAATTTATTTGAGTCATATCAGAATCTAGTAGAAGTGGTTTACATGTGTTACTGGGAATCCACGCTCCACCGATGCTCGCGTCTGTACCTTTAAACGTGTTGTGGCAATACGCCGATACTCTGGAATATCGAACCAGTTTGTGTAGAGTTCGTATACTGATAGGTCAGGCTTAATTCCCACGTAGGATTTTGCCTTTGTTTGATCTTAAGTTTCTGTTTTTCTTTTCATATTTGCAATGTCACGGTCAATATAATTTGGTGTAGACAGTACTTATAACAATTGCGTTAAGCAAAATTTGGAAAGACAGAAGTATTACCCTCAACACTTAAAAGAGGCTCCTCAAAACACTTGTTTTCCCCATCGCATCCAACGGATCAGAATGCTGGGTACTCAAAGCTTCCGATCGAAAAAGGATTGAGAGCTTCGAACCCTGGTGCCACAGAAGACTCCTCAGAATCAGCTGGAAGGAAAAGAAAACCAATGAATAAGTTCTACACAAAATCAACTGTGAGGAGAGACTTCTTAACATCTAAGACAAATAGAAATTTACATCCATCGGACATCAACTGAGAAAAGAATACTCACTCGAAAAAAGACTGTTGATGGGATCAGTGTATGGGCAGAGACGACGAGGGAGACCGAAGACCAGGCTTGGAGACAACATTAAAGACATATGTGGGATGACTATGGTAGAGATAAAGAGAAAAGTGCAGGACAAAAGGCAGTGGAAGTGGCTCGTGCATGGGGCCACGACAGTTCGACATCGAACTTTTCGTAACTGATGATGAGACAGTACTTTCGAGTAGTACATTGCATCTTTTTGTTCTTGCGTTTATACAGGCATTCCACATAGCAATAAATGACTCATTCTCCATGCATCTACCCTCATACATGTACCTTGCAAATAAATTCCCCCTTCAGAGCCGCCCATATACATTATTTTCCTATGACTGTTTCACTTTTAACATTAAGAATTAATACATTAAGAACCGTGAAATATATATTGAGAGACAATGTTTTAATATACTTTTTCGGAAGGGCACGAAAAATGCGCTTTACGACTTTTTAAAGACGCAACTACTCGATCGTAGGCACGAGAGCGCAGATTGGGCCAATTTGAGTTTATGTAGGATGAAATTGGAGGAAGTATACATGTCGGCGTGAAAAATATTGTGGTGATTTTAATTTGGTCCTAGATCCTAGATTGGGCCAATTAATGCTGGTGATGACACAGGCCTTTTTTTTAATCACACAGAAGCAAGATGGAATTACATGTTTTTTGAGGAAAATAAACCACGCCAATTTCATGAAAAAAATTGGAGCATCATCTCACATTTTAAAAACATACGCTCCCTGAATTGTTTCGGGTTCGGTAGCTGTCATTATAAAGTCGGCCTAATAGACAAATTGTATTCTCTCAGAACATATCCACTTTGTGACAGGTAATTACATCGGTGAAAGCATTCGACTTGTTTATGATTTGACACAGTAAACGGACGTAGTGTTTCTGGGTTACTTTTACTTATCCACGTTCCATTTAGCCACGTTTTATAGGCTGTCGATTTTTTTCGACTTTGGTAATTCAGTGAGGAGATACATATCATTACAAGGATAGTAATGCTGCAGGTAATCAAGGGGGAATTTGTCGGGATCCTTAAAATTCTCAGGTGATCCCCCTTTCACCATATCTTTTTATTAAATGCACCGGAATACTTTGGACCTTATAATTATACTATCAAGGAACACAAATCTAAAAAATAAAGACTTTCATTTTCAATCTTATACTTAATGGCAGGGAGGAAGTTGGAAGTATTTCTAGTCTAACCACTGCTTTTTTTTACCTTGTTTGATGGGTCCTATTTTTTTTTACCATATATGCAGACAGTATTATTATATTTATTATATTTGTGCTCTTCTCAGAAAAGTCGAAGAAACAACAGAGGGTATATTTAGGAGTTTTGATGTTGGAATAATAATGATAAATGCTGAATAAATTGGCAGGATATACATTATCAAACACCAATTTTAATTACCTATGATTTTGTTGTTAGTTTGTCTAGTCACTTTTTCTGTTCCTTGTCAAATTTTATACCTACTTTAAAATGTTCACAAGAAAAAAACAAATTTGGAGTGTGATTTCCTCGATAAGATGCTTGGTGAAAAAAGATGAGAAACTGCCAATAAGTTCAAAGACAGCTTTTCAACTTAAGTAGTAAGCCAGGGGCGGATTGAGGCCGTCTTCGGGGTATTCCGGAAGACGGTCAGATTTTTAAGTTTATTTTTATGTTTTGACGGATATCTAATTTTTTTATGTCGGAACATGGAGGATGGATTAACAAAGATTATCTGGAAGACTGTCTGAAAATAGCTCTGGATCCGCCACTGTAAGCGTACGATCAATTACAGACGTTGGTACATTACACCTTTTTTCTCACTTTTCAATTCCCAGAGTATGAGTGAGTATTTTGTGATGTTCTTTTTTATGATGCTATATATTTTCATGGACAAAATTACGTAATTATGTCCGAGATATTACACTGTTTAATAAACAAAAAAGTATACATGAAATCATGCATGTCTGAATCTTACTTGGTAAGACCAATTTAGACCCGATGTATCCAGGTAAAGTGGATGATTTCATTTCTACACTGACCTAAGATCTTTTCACATCAAATGGTCTTCAATAGCAATACAGCTGCTGTACCGTCAAACTGAGGGCGTCCGGACGACAATTTACGGGTCGTCTGCTTGATTACATCTGATACTGAAGAGCAAGGCCACTCAAAAAGAAAGTGTGATAAATCTGAAAAAAAAATGGGTTTAATTACACGCGTTAGGCTAGAGAAATTAAAATAATGATAAACACCATTATTTTGTTCAATTGAACTTGGTTCAAATGCAGACTCTCGCATCTTAAGACCCATGGTTAAGCTATTTGTACATGTAGTAACGCTTGGTGTCGCGATAACACAATAAATAAATAAATAGATAAATAAATAAATATTGAATCTCGTCGAAACCGTTTCATCAGACGTCACAGCAACTTTGTGGGATGATTGTTCACATTCAGACATCATTGTTTGATAACAAGCCAAAGTGTTAACTTAATAAAAAAAATGATACTGTGGGTTTGACTGTCATATCAAGTTGGGGTCAAGATTCACCCATAATGAACTGGACGTTTTTGTGGTAACAATAGAATGTAACCAATCAATTGGAAAGTGGCTTCTTTCTTTGCCGTCGGTTACCTTGCTTTCCCTGTTAGTGGTTAGATAATTAAAGAGATTAGCGTTGATTAAGGAAGGCCGCCTTGCGCCAGATTATGAATGGTGAATGCAAGACAAGGTGTAAATTGTCCCTAAACGGGTAAAGGGCTTCGTTTGCAGATTGTTTACAAATTGGTTCAAGCTAAGCACCCTCCAGTACTTATAGGTGTATAAATGGGGGGCCATTTATGAATCTCGTCACTACTTCTACAAAACGACCATAGTGGAAGGTGAAAAAAACTTTGAAAACAAAAACAAGGCGTCCTTTTGTAATAGAAGACATACATATCGTTCGTGGAACTCTTGAATCTCGTTTGAAACCGTTTCATCAGACGTCACATTATCGATCGCTGGAAAATCTGGCCAATTTTCTAGGCTTCTCTACTTGATAAACGCATCGGGAACATTAATTATCAAGGCTCTCCGGTTGACATTTAAAGGAAGATTCTGAAGCGCCACGGTTTTGATTTCCCCCCAAGTCCATGGATGCTCTCAGGAGAATAAGCGTTTTATTATTTCTCTTCTCCACTGGGTTGCAGACAACTGTTTCCAGTCATCTGGGACTAGGCGTTGAGCTGGGAAGGTGTCGCACTCGATGTTTACAGGTAAGAGGGATATTGGTTGTCAGACTACATTTTTTTGTATTTATTATACTTGTGTATAGGTAGGCCTATATGTGTAAAGTCATACCGCTTTGACGTCGGATTGTTACTGTAACACTCATGTTCAAGAGGGTGCGTTCTTAATCTTGTGTCGCATATCGAAGAATGACAAAGTTAAAAACATTTACTTTATAAGTTGTTTCCGCGAAACACCATTAACGTTTTTGGACGCATAGCTACGATGCCACTTGAGCGAATAAAAGTTTCATCCCTCATAAGCTGCGTCAAGTACAGGCCTATATACACAGTCCGAAGCTGTGTGACATCTAGTATTGCGGATACAACAGCCTAGTTTAGACAGCATCTTATTCATCATTACATTTCTTCACTGATTGTTTCATTGCCTTGTGTTAACCCTTCTTGCCTTTGGTATCAAGTTACTGTCTTGTCACATATATTTACAGTCCCTACATATATTAATAAAACAAAAGGATTAAGTCATTTTGTATTCAATCCCGGATCAGACCCTATTCCACTTATATTGTTTGTCAGGCTCCTCACAGCCAGCACTGACAGCTGACATATCTGACGACAAATACTTCATGTGGAGTTTATCCTGATATTTGTACGACGATCAGTAGGAGTGTTACTCGATTTAATCTTGAAACCAAAGATATACTTATAGTGCCATGATGAGAAGGGACCTCTCACGCAGAGGTACACGGTTGACTCCAACCTTATGAACTTCCTCTCTGTCCGTGAAATATAATGACAGTGGGTGCGAAAATCAAAGTACTGTCCATTAGCAAAAGACAGTGTCTTGGATACAGGGCCGATAAAAATCATGCGTCTGTTTATTTTGCCCTTTTTAGCCCCGTCACAGTTAAGGCATTTCTAAAAAAGCGTGGTCAAAATGTGTCCAAATATTCCTAAACAACGTCGACAAAACGCGATGGAACAATAACAGGCAACTTTAAATATTTCACGTTTTTGTACAATTGTTCGCAACTTTATATATGCCATCGATTCCATTATTTTCTTATTTTAGTTTCTCACTTTGGAAGTGAACGATGAAGAATGTCAGAAGAACGGGAACTGTAAAATGGTAAGTATGGATAAAGTTCTTCCCCGTATTACCCATAAACTTCCCGGCCTTGTGTAAAACCTGGCAAAATCGAGTTGATGGTGCTGTTGCTAAATCTATTCTTTTTCGTCCAATTGTTATTTTAATAAACTGTGTGGCGCCCAAACGAAGCTGAACACAAGCTGGAATACTCAAAATCATAAAATATTTGTTAAATACAGTACAAAATGTCGGTTGTTACTTTCTCGATAGCTAAAGAGTGTTACCATTGCTACTATACAGTACAGAGAAGTAAACGCTGTATCGAAAGTAGAACTCGAGGAGGAGGGGGAGGATTTTTTGAGGAACCCCAAGATATCCCTCATGTCGTTGCGTAGTGAAAACGGCAGAACTTAGTCCTGGCGATTTTTTTCAGTGCTGGGAGACCTGTGAATTCCTTCAGTGGGAGCCAAGCAAGTGGAATGTAATGTGTAATGCACCTCACATATGTGTAAGTAATAAGAAACTTTGGATTTTTCAATATATACAACACGTAATTTATCTAGATAAGTCCAATAACACACACACACACACACACACACACACACACACACAGAGAGAGAGAGAGATCGAGAGAGAGAGAGAGAGAGAGAACGAGGTAGTAACATTCTCTAATATCCAGAAAATGAGAACATAAGGTACCTTTGTCTTTTCACGTGTAGCGTACAGTTTTCTGTGTTGCACCAGTTTATTTGGTCTTAAAATGTAATTAACTTGCGGGGGTTTTAACTACAAGACACAAGGTACCTATCAATATTAATCAGGTTAACTGGTGTCAAGCACACGCACTTCGTTTAAGTGACTGTCCTACGACATAACCAGTCTATTAATTTGTCTGTCTCTCTAACTGGAGCGATAAAGAAAATGGTACCACTCGATGACAAAAAGAGCTTATTTTCATTTTTGAAATGAAAATTTCGCCATTGCATTGCATAGTCATTGTATACGGCCTTTTTTTGCATTGTCACTTTGTTCACTCTAAGGCGCATTGTACTCCCACTTGGTTTATGAAGCCACGTTAACTTAACTGTCCATTTTAACACGTGGGAATACCTTGGTTTCGCCTAATTTGTGATTTTGGGTCAATTTTAACGGGTCAATAATGTGCCTTACAGCTAAAATAAAGAAATCTATTATTATTCATTTCACAGGAAGTGAAATTGTATTTTCATCTTTATAAATGACATGGATGGAGGCCGTTTGAAAAGGGTAAATCATTACATTTATTGCTCTACAGATGAGGGTATCTGGTGTTAGCCGTATCAGTCAGATTCCGCCCCAAGCTTTGATTGACGCTTTCTCCCTTTTCGCGAAATCCGTTGATCGTTATTTATTTTTCATTTGAGATACAATCCTGAAACTTTCAATGTGAACCAAAGTGTGGAGTATAAAATTGCAGGTACGATTTTTTGTGAAGCCTTTTTTCCAGATCTAGAGATATGATTTCCGGGGAGAAGAAAGGGCCAATTTCACGTTTTTGTAGATAAAATCTGAACTGCACCTCAAAATAAAAACGCAAGCCCCTTGCCATGTAACACAATTAAATGCGTAAGAATTTTACTGAACGCTGCCTTGGGGACCAATTAATTTCCAAAACCTATAATGCCATTTTAACACCAAAATGCATTTGATACGTAGGCTACTCGTAATCCGAGAAATAACTTTCCAGTAATTATGCCCAATCATAATTTAATGATCATTTATGCCCAGTAACAGTGCTTTTGTTTTCCCCTTACCAATGTAAAATTTTTGCATGTTATCCAGGCACAAAAACAGGGTAATTAAAAAACCCGGGCAGAGTCACGCTCAGTGTTGCAAATCTTATGTAAATCCTGTAAACTAACGGGGAATTAGACACGCAAAGCAGGATGTAGTGAGGCAAGGTTGATCTTTTTTTCAAGTGCAATTAATATACTGTAGCTTCATAATATTTTCAAAACAATGGGTATGGAGTTAGAAAACATCTCAGCATGAATTCACGTGGTTGTAGTACAACACAAGGCGTGGGTAGCGCACGTGGCTTGCTTGGCTTTCTTTCGCTAGGGTCACAGATTGTTCTTTCTCCAAGTCTACTGTGATGATGTATGGAACTAATGTCATTACTCAGAACATAGTAGCCGCTGGCTGTATTTATTCCAGCTCACGGTGTAAAAATATATAGGATTGATTTGACTGGCTGTTATCTTATACACTGTACAGTTTATTTTAAATATCTTATCAATTCAATTACATCTTAGTCCACATCTTGAGTTCATATCTTATTATTTTAACTACCTTTTCATTTATTTTAGTCATCTGATTCTGTTCATTTTACCCATGTAAAGTCTACTGAACATTTTATATGGATTTTTGACAATAAATAAATATTATTATTATTATTATTGTATGCCAAATACGCATTCTCGGGTTAGCACATATTTCTCTTCCAATTGCTTTTGCAAGTAAACCCTGCTATAAAAGAGGCCAGCTGTCTTGATACCTCCACGTTAAATGACGACAGGATATCATTATTATTAATTATTGGTTTTAACACAAAGCTATGAACTTAGCTATGCGACCTCTATGATTTAGCCAGACTGACTTTCGTCACCGTTTACGTCTACCATCATTTCCAGTGCAATAAAACTAACCATTCCTTCATTCTGATCCTGTATCAATGGTAATGAAGCGAGTGACGAGCTTTGTATGACTTAACGTGAACATAATTACGCTTGCGATTTTCGTTAAAGTTAAAACAAGTAACAATTAATTGTTCTGGTGATAAAATGAAACTAATTTTGATGATGTTGTGATAGATGTTTTTCATAGTTTCCATAGCAATATCCGATCATGAATAACCGAGATCTAAAGGCAACATATCTGCATGGACTAAAAAATTATTTAGATTCAGTTCGGTGTATTTCAATTATGCATTTCTTTTTTTAAATCTAATTCCAGTTTCCTGGTTGTAAGAGCTCTTGTGAATTCTGGGATCACCACTCTACAGGTAAATAGGCGCCGCGTGTCTTGACATTTTTTTCTCTTTGCATATGACTTTATTCCTGGAAAACTACAAGCATTGTTGTTTGAAATAAAATAAATAAAATGAATTTATCACTCACATGGTTCTATTGTCTAAGGATCCAAGATGCTGCTGTAATCCATATGATTAACCACTCTTTTATTTTATATTTTAGCGATAACACAAAATCCCCTTTATGAGCTTCTAAAGCCCATCCAAGTCAAGAATAACAACGGAGCTTTACGCTTAGAGTGGATACCACCTGTTTCTGAAAAAAATTCAGAGCGTTTCGTCTATATTTTAAGCAGCCGGGATGTTAATGATACTTTTAGTGACTGGTATACAGATATTCAAGTAAGTGTCATTGGTGTCCTTTTGATAGCTGGCGGATCAAGGATGTTATGAATAATTGTGCAGAATCTTGAAATATCAGACATTCTGGCATCAGTGCCAGTACCAGAGATAGCGTATTATGTTTCTTACATCCGTTTGCATCAGATATTTTGATCTTTTTCTTAAATGCAATGACTCCATCCCATTGTTGATTAAAATCACCAGGTGCTAATATAAGAATTGAGTAGAACTTTGAAAAAAGAAGTTGAGGAAAAAGTCTGTATGTATTGTTCTATACAAATAATGACAAAGAAATGATATTGCACGTTTTTTTTTCAGACCGCTGACATGTGGGTTGAGTATGAGGCCACCTCGTTTTCGAACCTGTCGAATACCAAGTATCAATTCCAGTTGATTGTGGTTAACGAAAATGGAACTGTGGCGATTTCTGAGACAGAGACGCTCGATCTTTCTCATTTACATGGTGGGTAGGCCTATAATTTCAGGGCATCTGTGTAGGGTTCATTATGAAATGGAACCAGACAAAAACATCTAGTATCGTTAATAGAATGATACATTTTCCTCGATAAATAACACAAAAATCAAGCAAATAAAGATGTAAAAACACATTTTGATATGTTGTTTTTACGGTAGAGATGGATCGTATGACGCACACCTGCTGGAAATTGGCGGTTTTGTATGGCTCCTTCCTTGATTTGAGCAACAATAATTGTAAAGCAATACGTCAAGAGGTAGTAGGTAACATTTTTCTCCACTTCAATAATGATAAAATTAAGAGACTGGCATTATCACAGAAGAAGCTACCGGATGAAAAGAATGGAAATCATGACGGGTAGCACGAGGACAAGACATCCTTGCAGACGCATAAAGCTGGAAAATTATTTTCATAATCAACTTCTTAGAAAAGATGAAAAAATTCTATTATCAGCACCTTAGTTCATCTGAGTCTGTACTAAGAAGGCAAAAAGACATCAAAGAATGGAAATTAAATTTCACACTGGGTATTCACGTATGCTAAATGGTTTGAAGTCTGACTGTTTAAAATTGATTAAAACATACACTTTGAAGATTTTAAAGTTCTTTCCAAGTGGTATAAAATAAGATGATGTGTAACATTTAAATAAAGAGCACCTGCATCCACACACGATGCCTCTCAGACCATAATTTAAAGCAAATTACTATAAGGAGAGATGAGATTTATTGACCTTAACAGCAATGGTTAAAAAATCAATATTGAAAACCTCCAGATATATAATGATTGAGTCGTATGATGTCAGATTTAAGACAACAATGCCTTTGAAGGGCTTAGTAGAAAATGTCAGTGTGCAAGACCCCTGGCAAAAATAGACAGCAGTTTGTTTCAATCTCACACACTTTCACAAAAAAAGTGAGTTATGGCAAGCAAATGGTAAATTATATCCTTCAAGCTCTACCTTCAAAGTTAAGTTAAATTTAATAAAGGGGCAATTTTGGTAATTTAAACACAATGTTACATCTCAGACATATTCAAATCCCTGCATGATGCCAATTACTGTCAACCAACATGAGTATTGCAAGTTACCTGACATGAAATGAAAGAATTATAATTAATTGGTGTATATCATTTCTGTTTGCCAATCAATCTCTCTTTTCTCAGAATTGGCTTCTACCTTGAATGATTACTGTAAATTTGATGTTGAAGCCAAGAAAGTGTCAACTCCTCAGCAGAACACCACCTAGGTATCTTTGCTAAGACTGTGGTATGCATGGTTGAACAGAGAGAGCTTTAAATATGGCTGCTTTCACATAGACAACATTTACCATATTACACATCAAATTGACTGTTTTTGATGCATTAAGATCCATATTTTTTCAATTCTTATAATATCTCTTTTTAAATGCAAGTTTTGGTGAAAAGAGGTGGAGGTAACCATTGCAAATTCACATATTGTGTTTTGTTGAATAAAAAAAATCTATTTTTCAGCTCCCTCACATCAGCCTGACAACCCACTTAATATCTCAGTGATTGTAGAGAGAGACAACAGTTCTACATTTGCTTATGTCCACTGGCAGCAGATGTCTGCAGAACGCACTGATTACAGTGTCTTCTGGGGAATGGAGGACTGCAACGTGAATAGATCTCTACCCTACTGCACTATCCCGCCTGACTACTTTGCCACATATATAACAGACAGCTTGGAAGGGGTAACATATAATTCAATCCTTGAAACTTCTCATTAACTATTTAAAATTAATGTGTAAGTGTTTTAATGTAAATGTTTTCTGCTTTATTATTAAATAAACCTTATAATTGTTCTTTTTTTTTGGTAAAGCAATCAGTAATATGAACTGTACATTTACATATTTTGATAATGTAAGAGAGAGATAAATTAGTAATACATTATGCAATCTTATGGTCTGAGATGTTAAATTTTCACATTTTGTCTATACTTTTAACTAGGATGTTGAAGTCAAGCTGAATGCAGATTTAACATTCAATTCAAAGTACTTTGTGCAAGTTGAATGCAGCACAACTGGTATGGTGTCCCCCAAGATTTTCTTCTGCACCCCTGGGTGTGAGAATCCAGACCCTACCTTCACTGTGTGTCTCCCAGATGAAGTTATTGAAAAAGACCATAACAGTATGTCTTTTTACTCCATTTTAGAACAAAACTCATTATTGTTTAGAACACAAATGCATTTTTTAAAAGTATGATGTTTAACTAATTTCTAACATTGTGTACAAATTCATACTTAAAAAAATGAAAAAATTATTTTGCTCCTCCCACCTTAAGTGCATTAGTAAAACAAGGCAGCAAAGTTGTCAAATGTACAGACAAAAAGCAGAAAATAATGATGCACAGAATAATTTTTTCCCAATTTTGATGCAATAATACATTATACTTAGCAGCAAAATCAGCACCAAATTTTTAATCATGCACAAAAGGTAACATTATATGAATATTAGGAATGTATAACTAGCATAAGGCTTCAGGGCCGTGAGAGTTCAAATTCACACTTTGAAAATGCAAGAATGAGAAAAATGAAAATTTCACGAAAAAAATTGTAAAATTCTGTATGACAGTCCCAAGAATCATTCTTGTAAGTCACAAAATAATAATTAACACATTTTTCCTTTAATTGCAATTGTGGTGGCAGTGCATGAAATAGGATTTTTGTCAATTTTTAATGGTTTACATTATGACTAACAGCAAAATAACTACCAATTTTTAATTATGTACTTTACATAACATGGGAATTCATAAAATGTAACTATTATATGGTTTCATGCACAAATTTCCACACTAAAAATACCAATAAGAGAAAAATGTAAATTTGGCTAAAGAAATTGCATAATTAACTTCCAGAAAAAGAATGCAATGAAATTGGTTTTCCAACCCAAGCTCTATTTCAGTCCTATGAGTCTTTTCTGTAAGTTTTAGAATCATAAGTAACATGGTTTTCCATAAATGGTCATTATGGCAGCAGTGGCAAAATAGGTTTTCTTCAACTTTGATGCAATATTACATAATGCTTAACAGCATAATCACCAACATTTTTTTAATATTACATAAGTATCATGGATATTCAGAAAATGTGACAAGAAGTCACACCTTGAAAATGCCATGATGTAAAAAATGAACATTTAACACACTAAAAAATGCAAAATGTGCCTGCTGACTATTTTCATAACAATGTGCCATCACTTAATTGCTTTCTTGGTTCCATTGATGATAGTAATTGCAGTGAATAATGAGGAGGAAATGCCAAAGACAAAACAATTGCAGTAAATAATGAGGAGGAAATGCCAAAGACAAAACAATGTCGGGTCTTTGTGTGAGTTTCTCCCTGAACACTTTTTGCGTGTTTGCAATCTCATATACTCATATCTAATTATTGTTTGCTGTTTAATGGTTAGTGCTGCAATTAGAACGATGTTTTAAAGTCATTAAAAAACCTTGTTAAAACCAGGAAGTAGATTGCAACTAACAACTGAATTGCATAGAACCACGATCCGATGTTGTTTAATGATTTAGATGTCTTTTTTTCTAATAACTTGCTGCATTGACGGACAGGGCAACAAAGAACGTTTCTGAGAAAAAATCCTGTGAGGATAAAAAACTTTGTCATGTGCAATTTTTGCATGTTTACAATTTGATATGCACCTCTCTAATTATTGTTTGGTGTTTTATGGTTAGAGCTCCAATTAATTATTTAACCATCTAAAAACTCATTACAATATTGAAAAAAGATACACCATTACACAACGATCCTGGCTTGGTGATAGACATTTAAACAGTTTTTCGGTGGCTATGAACAAAAAATGTAACATCATCCTGCCCCCACCCCCACCCCTTCAATTTCTGAAAAAAAATCACACTAATGGTCTCCTCTTCAAATGAGAATTTTGATTAGCTGAGTCATAGTTCTAAACAGTTGGCACTGTTCGTCCTCTAAAATACCAAAATTTTTCTGGGCCCTTCAGCAGGCCCCAAACCCCATGCCAATGGGGGGAGGGGTGGTTACACATCTGCAGACCCCCCTTAAAATAATCCTGGATCTGCACCTGTATAAGTTTGAAGACAGTAGGTCAAACTATTTTCCATGAAATGTTGTGTGTTAAGATACTTCATGGTATATCTCACTTCATGAGATAAATGCCCTGGTTTTGCTGACAAATTTACTTCTTAGGATAAAATGCAAGTTCATTTCCAAATAAGATATGGAATAATGGTGAGAAAGTCCCTATTGCAGGCCTTACGTTTTGAAAAATAATGTTTTTGAACTGTAAATATGATTCAACATAGGTAAACTGTATGTTTTAATTCTATTTACAAACGTACCAGTATGGCTGAAAGGATTTCAGAATCTGTATAAACATTAGAACTTTTAGGTGCATATCTTGAGCAATTATTATATTATTATATTTCTTAGTTATTATATTTCTTATAATATTTCTTTTTAAAGGCATGTTTTGGTGAAAAGGAATGGAGGTAACCATTGCAAATTCACAAATTGTGTTTTTTAAATTATTGAATAGAGATAAAATCTATTTTTCAGCTCCCTCACGTCAGCCTGACAACCCACTTAATATCTCAGTGATTGTAGAGAGAGACAACAGTTCTACATTTGCTTATGTCCACTGGCAGCAAATGTCTGCAGAACGCACTGATTACAGTGTCTTCTGGGGAATGGAGGACTGCAATGTGGATAAATCTCTACCCTTCTGCACTGTCCTGCCTGACTACTTTGCCACATATAAAACAGACAGCTTGGCAGGGGTAACATATAATTTAATCCTTGTAACTTGTCATTAACTATTAAAAATTAATGTGTAAGTGTTTTAATGTGAAAGTCTACTTCTTTATTATTTTTTTGGTAAAGCAATCAGTAATATGAACTGCATGTTTACATATTTTGATAAAGTAAGAGGGAGTTAATTAGTAATACATTATGCAATCTTATGATCTGAGATGTTAATTTTTCACAAAACTAATTTTTGTTTCTACTTTTAACTAGGATGTTGAAGTCAAGCTGAATGCAGATTTGACTTTTAATTCAAAGTACTTTGTGCAAGTTGAATGCAGCACAACTGGTATGGTGTCCCCCAAGATTGTCTTCTACACCCCTGGGTGTGAGAATCCAGACCCTACCTTCACTGTGTGTCTCCCAGATGAAGTTATTGAAGAGGACGATAACAGTAGGTTTTATTACTCCATTTAAAAACAAAACTAATAATCTTTAAAAACACTATTGGTGTTTTTTAAAACTACAATATTTCATTTAATTCAAACATTATGCACAATTAATTAATTAATTAATTAATTAATCCACCCCCCCAGACAGTACACCAAGACTGTGTATAACATATTGTTCCATATCAGTTACAGTAACTGCTACTACCTGGGCCCCCATTTGCCATAACCTAACCTATAGCCACAGTGAGAACAAGTGGGCAGTAGTCATCTCGTGGCCTCCCCCTGCCCAAGGTGTTCCCATTAGATACAATGTGTCCTGGATGACAGACTTCAGAGAAGGCGACAGCATGTACAGTGCAGGTCAAACATCTACTACAGAGAACCATGTGGTGCTGATGTTGCCTGGAGGACAACATTATGAAGTTTTGGTATTTATGCTTCTAAGCTTTCTTTGATTTTCCTTATATTAACATATTTTCTCTGCTGGGGTGTTATTTCATGATTTAGAAAGACAAGATGTTTGTTCTCTTTCATTTAAAATTCTAATACATTGTTTTAGAAAGGAGTCTGGTGTTTACATTAACACCCTAAATTCAGATATTGTTGAAGAATTCTATTCTTAATTATTTTTTAATATTTTAGGTTATGGCAGTTTACAGTGATCCAAAAGAGTCCCAATACAGTGATTACTTGTATTTCAATTTATTAGCCAAGGTTCCTCAAGTTGAAGCATCCAAGAATGGTACAAGTAAGTTATTACAGTTTTTTGCAAATCTATCTATCGCAGCAAGGAACAAATACCAACTTAAAACTAAAAAATTTATCAAAATACTTGTCATTGGGAAATACTCCGTTATTCACCCTCAAAGCTTTTCATGTATATGTGCTTGATGTACCTAATGGTGCTATTTTCTAATTCCAGCAGATGGGATTAAAGTAGAGGACACCAACGTTAGTCACTTGCTCATCATTGTCTCAGTCACTGCCAGTGCTGCAGTGGTCATTTTCAACCTCGTCAACTGTTTTATTTGTCGTTGGAAACGTAACAAAACCATTGAGACTAAAGCAAGGGCCATGGCCAGAAATAACAGTTACAAGTCTTGCTCCAACAGTAAGTTACAGTTGTCAATATTTGGGTACTGTTACTTTTTACAGATTTATTTCCTCAAGAAGCTAATTTTCTGTCTCAACTTTACAATGTGTAAATCACTTAAAATAAAGCATAAAGTTAAATCAAGCAACTTAATTAGACTTGAGATGGGGTTGGGGTTGTGATGTTCAAAAAAACTGTCCTTTTGATCAAGAAATCTGAATCAAAATTTGACCTAGGTTCTATGAGAAACATCAGCTTTACAGTGAAAAAGAAACCACTTTTTTAGTAAGAAAAACACCACCATCCAATTTCTGTCTGCAATTGATCTCTCTTTTTCCAGGTCCTGGCTTTTACCCTAGTGACCAGTTGATCTCAGTACAGGACAAGTGGGAGATCGCCCCTGCATTTCTCACTTTTGGTCACCAGCTTGGGCAAGGGGCATTTGGCAGGGTTCTTACGGGGTCTTATAATGGCAAGAGAGTGGCCATCAAAATGACCAAGAGTGAGTATCTCTGTTATATCATTTTAGATATTCAAAATGAGGGTATATCCCTTAAATTTACTCCCCTACACCATTATTCCCCAGCATTGTTACTCCTCACTTTGCACAATTATTGTAGGGAGTAACAGTGTGGGGGGAGTAAAAATATTTATGCAAAGAGTAGTGATTCAAGGAAGTAGTATCTCAGGGGCTGTGTTAATTCAGGGGCTTTACAATACGGGTAATATTATTATTTTACCAGGAGTAATAATGCATGAAGTATAATGATGTGGGGGAGAGTAACGATGCAGGGACATAATTACATATAAAGAGATGACCTGCAGGGAGGGACCTGAGTTTAATTAGAGTTTTTCTTATATATCAACTGATGTTTTTGTAATGAATAATCTAATCTCAAATACATTTTTTTTCGTAGAAAATGCTCCACCTTCTTACAAGGAAGACCTTCTGGCAGAAATCTGCTTGATGAAGAAGATAGGTGCCCATCCTAACATTGTTTCTTTGATTGGCTCCTGTACAGTGAGAGAACCCCTGGCTCTAGTAATGGAATACATGCCCCACGGAAACCTTCTCCACTTTCTTAGGTATTAGATCAAACACATGTTGGAAGTTTTTCTGATATCTATAAAATAAGATGAGCCAGTAGATGCTATATGAAACAAAAAAGCATAATTTACATTTTTTGCTTATATCATCCTTTGACTTCTGATAAAAATGTTTGCACAATTTTATGGTGAATAAAAAGTATTTTTTATTGTAAGAAATCATCCCTACTCAGTTGGGCCTGTAGCAATAGTCCAAAGGTTCAACAGTTCGAAGGTTCATTGATCCTAATGTTCATTATAGAACCTTCGGACCAACAAACCCTTGATTAAAAAACTGATGAAAATGTTGCAATTTTTTGGATCAATGAACCTTCGGATTATCGAGACACCCCCCACTAAGTTCACATAGTTGCTGCCTGTTCACTTTTTATACCTAAATGTATTTCATGACATTAACATTTTTTCCTCCATTCCAGACGTTGTCGTTTTGAAGGTCAGCTTAAGACAGAAGGCGCAAAACAGAAAGCCATTGAATACCCAATGATAAATGAAGATGGCAGCATTGAACAAGAAACCATCACATCTAAAGAGTTGCTATCATTTGCACGCCAAATTACTCTGGCCATGGTATGCGTCATTATACATCCTTTCCCTTTAGTTCACAAACCTTCCATTCGTTTAGGTTTCAATATATTGTACTGAGAAAAATTTCATACTTCTTATGAAATAATAATTATAATAATAATAATAATTATTATTATAATAAAGGAACATAACAGATAAAAACACACACCTTTGCTATATTAAATTCAATACCGTTCTTTAATTTTACCATCCAATTTCAGGAATACCTGTCTAGTAAAGGGATTGTCCACCGTGACATAGCTGCCCGTAATGTGTTAGTGGGGAAGGACAAGCTGGTCAAGCTGTGTGACTTTGGTTTGTCCAGGGACATCTACAAAGAACTCGAGTATCACAAGGACACCAGTGGTAAGCTGCCGTTGAAGTGGATGGCCCCAGAGAGTTTGAAGGACTGTGTTTATACAGTGCAGAGTGATGTGTGGACATTTGGGATCCTGCTATGGGAGATAGCCACACTGGGTATGTAATATTTTAAGTTCTGAACCTTAATCATAAGAAAGACCAACCCTAGATTGTTAGACAGTTATCATGGTTATTTACAATATATGGTAAACATGTTATCTTCAACAATTTCAAATTTGGCTGTATTAACAATCAAGAACAGTTAGAGCAGAGAAATTCATTGATGTAGATGATAATGATAGCTTGATTATTAACAGCTCAACCACTTACAATATTATATATCAATGTCTCAAATAGTCTTATGTTCTTTACCATGTGTTTTTAATTTCAGCTAAGGTACAAAATTTGATGAAATATTTCCTTCTTAATACTTACTGGAATACATTTCAATTCCAGGTGCTTCTCCATACCCAAACATTGCCCTGCCTGACCTATTCTCTGAACTGGACCAGGGAACAAGAATGAGCATCCCCAAGAACTGTTCTACTGAACTGTAAGTTCCACTTTTAGTATAATAGTAGTTTACAGGAAATGTGCTCATATTGGTTCTATTTAATCATTAAATGCACTTGTTCGGTATTTTGATATTTTGATTTATTGAAACATGAGAATAGTAAAAAAAATTAAATACAGTGTTATTTGTTCTACACAGTAGGATTTGGACTTTCTACTGGTGTCTTGTGTGATATGATGGCCTTGACTAAATTTCCATAACTTGTTCAATAAAGCAAATTAACTCTATATAATCTGCTCTAGTTTAAAATCACCATGAGCTTTTTTTCACACCATGAACTATTTTATATATTAATGTATTTTCATTTGATGTATTTTCATTTCATTTTCAGGTATATTCTAATGCTGCAGTGCTGGCACAAAGTCCCCAAGAGGAGACCCAGTTTTACTAGCCTTCGACTTGCACTGGAAGACATGATGAGCCAGGACAGTGATTACCTGGACCTTGACAACATCTTGGAGTCTGCCCTAGAGGACGAGAGAGATGACTCAGTGCAAGAATGTAGGGTAGACATATTTGCTGACAAGACTGAAACATTGCTGCCCAGGGAAAGAGAGGGCCAGGATGAGGAAGAGGAAATTCGAGACCAGCCATTCACGAGAAAGCGCAGCTTAAAACAGACCCTCTCCCAGTTATCCAACATCCTAGATTCACCAAACCTATTGAAGAAAGGCAGCCTGAAGAGCCAGAAGTCATGTGGTTCTAACTTCGGCTCCCCAAGGCTGTCCATCAAAGGCAGTATCCGTAGGAAGATGTCGATTAAACACAGCCGATCCAAGGAGAACCTCATTGATGATGATGACAAGGATGAAAGCGGATGTGAAAGTTGCAGTGAAACTCAGTTAAATAACCTGAATGAAGAGGATTTTTCCTACCAGGAACAGCACCTACATGCCTTAAAGTCTACACATCTTTAGAGAAACATCCGGTTTCTTTTTTTGTTCTAATCAAATGTTTAAAACTTCTTGATATTTGTTTGACTTGTTTTGTAATAATACAAAGATGTTTTAACTTTGTCAATGATTAAAAGTTAGTGACATAATATCACATAATATTGCCAAGTGTCTCAATTTTATAGCACTTTACACTATTAAATGCCAATCTAGTAAACAATGTAATTTTTTTCAAATATTACATTTCAGATTGAAATATATCCCGCAATTAGATTTAAGGGAGATTTCTTTAAATTTATTTCTTTTGCTAATATTTGCTATATTTATGTGCACTGCTTAAAAATGGACAAACTATGAACACAATCATTATTTATAATTCAGTTATTTTATTAAAACTAGATATATAAGTTGTAGATCTTAAAATATAGCTACTATTTATGTAATTTATTAACAATGGGCTCATTCTGGCAAGCAATTTGTCTCTTTAACATAGGTGAAGAATTTTACCCAAAGCCAGATAAAAAATTTGAGTCAAACAGTGATAAGTGCAATTTTCACTCAGAATATTTTGAAAATTATTTAACCAGAGCAAATTATTTGGAGAATCAGAGAATAATGATTTTTGCCAGCATGACCTCAGTTTCCCATGTATGTAATTTAAGAAATGTATTTAAAATATAATTATATTAAATAAAATTAAGTGTTTTACCAGTGAACAACAGTTTCTTTGATAAAGGTCCCTTTTTTCATTCCATGGCAGATACATATCATCACCAAGTGTCCAGATAAAACTGAATGTTGTAAAAAAAAAAATACTGATAATAACTGTAAAATATTGTAGCTCTGCAAAAACTTTTTAAAAATCTGTTTAACTGTAAAATGCAGCAAAGAAATAGGCGATAAGGAGAGATAATATAATATAATTAATTATACAGTAATACTGTACGTATATAGTCATAATTTGTTGCTTAGGCCATACAAAATTGATAAGTTGGTTATCAAGTGAGACTTTATTCAGACCCGAGCATGCCTTAGACATTGGTTTGGCAAATGGGAGAAATTAACAACTGATCCCAAGAAAAACCTTATTGCTTTTTTTTTCTCTCAAATTGCCCATACTGTGGATTACCTCTAAATGAAATAAAATAAAATAAAATGAATTAAATGACACTGAGGTGCTGCTCAATAACCAACTTATCAACATTGTCTGGCCTACTTGTTTTATTATATTCTTTTATGTAGAGATAACATCAGCAAAAATGTGGATGGACTGAGGAAGAGCTGGTACCTGTTAGATAATAGGATATCAACAAGTGAATTCAATGTATTTTGTATTTCAAAAACAGCAGTCGCTAACATAAGATTGGACTCTTAAAATAATTACTTAAATATTTATGATTACTTTATGATCTTAAAATAATTACTAAAATATTTAGTTCAATTCTATTCTAAATTTTACCTGGAATCAACATTCCAACTATGAAATACAAATTCATAAAATATATTTTTGAATTAATGTTTGCTTCATAATAAAAATGTTATATTTTGACATTGGGAATAAAAGAACAATGCAAAAATAAAAACAGATTCTGTTCACTAAAAAAGATTGGATTTTGAAACAGCTTCAAAAAATTAATATAAATTCATTTCCTTAAATAAATACATTTGTATCACTGTATGGCAATACATGTGGAAACTCTACTAGACTAAGACATGGTCCATATCCCTTTCACAAGAAATATGATTACGAGAACTTTGCACCATTTCCTGAATATAAAGCAGTTTGCACCCCAATTATCTAAATTTCCTAAACATGCATCATTCTTACCAAAAATTTCCCAGACTGAAAACCCTCATTGACCAACCTATCTACAGTGGCAAGCATGGCACTGGGGGCATAGTTAAATAATAATACATAAATGCAGTTTGTGGGGGTGAAACTGAATGAATTTTTTATCCTTCTTGTAATTCTGAATATTAAATGAACACTAATGTATAATACCAGGGAGTAACCCAGTAAAAGCAATTATCCACAAAAAATCCACCCTAAATTTCAGCCTTGTTTTTGAAATAATTCTTATGTGATACTGCAGAGTTTATTGCATAATATTAATATTGCAATAATATGTAAGTTGTTGATAAAGTTTAACTTTTTATTTTTGATTAATTCTTAAGAGAGAGCCTTTGACTAGATTAAGTTTTTTTTCTTTGGTTATTTTGAACTCTTTTTTTTTCCTTTGTTCAATTATTAATGGGAAAACTCATCTCCATTTCTTGGCACACTTCTTTAATGCACTGCAGCAGATGTGTCATGTCATCTGGGAACAAGTGACCAATGTTTCCAATCCTGAAACAATCGCTATCCAGAACTTTTCCAGGGTATATCACCAGACCTGAAAATTGAAAGGACATATCACTTTGTGGGGTTTAAAATGAATAAAATGACAATTTCTAGTCATTTGAAGCCATTTTCTTAACTTATTGTTAACTTCAGAGTTGCCAGTGTAGATATCTCCCCATTTTTATGTAAATTACAGCATCTATAACTATAAATGCAGACATTGCTCCATACCTGCTCTGAAGAAACCTATGCAGATTGCATCAGACATATTCAAAGCATAACTTTTTTCTATCAATCACTCAGTTCACTGTTTTGATTGCCTTGTCACGTAGCGAATTTTATATAGTAAAATTTCACCTGGGATTGACATGAAGCTAAGCAATCTTACTTGGCCAGGTATTGATCAACCTACATATTGTTTATTACTTTTCTCTTATTAATGTAAGTTTGCATTACTTGGGCCAGACATCACAAATGAAATTAGCTAAGACATGAGATTTAATTTCAAAAATTGACTACAGCTGAACTGACCAAATATTTACCTTTTTCATTCAGTCTGTGGTAAAATTCCTCAAAGACAAATTTGGGGTCCTTTGGAAAGCAGAAGGAGGTGATGATATATCCCTTGTGGGAACTGTCTAGGAATTCTCGGAAACCAAATTTTTTCATGCCCTCTCGGATAATCTGACAATTTTTCTGGTATCTAACAATTCAGAATTTAAGAGAAAATCTATAGATATACCAATTTGCTTTCAAAAACTAAAATCCTTTGCAGGTACAGTACACTGTATATATGTTTCTGTTATATAAACATCAAAATAGTTACTTATATCAAGCAAAAGTGTCATCACTGTTTTAATCATTTCTGCAAATCTAATTTGCCAACAACCAGAACTACAAGACAAAATGCTGAACCACTTGTTGATATAATTTCAAAATACAAATCACATGTGCAATAATTATTAATTCAACAAATATTCATACATTTTAACACCACAGCAATCATTTGAGTAACTGACCTTTTACCCCTCTCTAATACTCCACCCTCCTGCTCCAGCTCCAGGAGGGCCTGTTGAAATGCCAGCATGGAATGTGTAGGAGGGGTAAAACGGAACTGATGTGTCTTCTCCAAGTTATCATACTGATCATACAAATCTAGGCTCAGACTTGTGGAGTTACCTGAAATATGTAAGGTTTAATATATTATAATTACTTTGAAAGACTTGAAAAATCAGAATCGAAAACACGTTTGTAACCTCTTCATTATCCTCAAAATGTAAATTAGATGTGCTTGCACTAGATATTGTGTTTTGGCATTTATCAATTTCAAATATGCAAGACATCAGATTCTTCTTTGTGCCTTTAATGTTTACCTTTGCACTGCAGTAAATGATCCAGTCTGGCTATTACAAAGGAGAACCCTGGGACTCCTTCAAGACACTTATTAGCTGAACTGACCAGATAGTCCACTTTGGAAGCCTGGAGATCAAGTGGAATGGCACCAAACGAACTCATAGCATCCACAAAATAAGATGCATCTAAACAGAATAAAAAAAGACAGTCGATAGAACATTTATTCCAGTTAGCTATGGGGTATTTTTGTTACACATTTTCTATACACTTGCATTAGTTTTCATCAATTTAGACGCCATTCAGATAGACACCATCGGTCTATGTAGAAGATAAACCAAGTACTCATATACAATCACCAGCTTTTCTGTCTTTTACTTAACTCCAGCAGGAGATGGCCAGTTAATCTGTTTAACTGATTGCATTCAGAGAGAGTCTCTGCAGAGTTGGATCAATCTATGCAGACTGATGTTAATTATGGAAATGGGGCCTTAGTGTGTTTTATTTTATTATAAGTATTATTATTATTTTTTTTTTTTTGGGGGGGGGGTATAATTTGTAAACTATAATTCCTATAATGATTTGAGCTTCAGAGTGCATTCAGAACAGATAGTCTATGGACTACATGTAACTGATTCGCCTACCAGATATGACCAACCCTAATTAAAAAGCGATGCCATTAATTTTCTGTTGGCTTCCCGCCTCCACATGCACCATCACTGCAGGGGCTTAGCAATTAAACCTTGGAGCTGAGATTAAATCCATTTAATGACGTGTGTGGAGGTGGGGTTATTTTTCTCAGGATAATAAAGCAAATATTTTACCTGGAATGTGATTTTTAACAATGCAACCAATTTCAGAGACAGGATTTATGATTCCGGAGCTGGTTTCACAGTGAACCACAGCTACCAAGGTGAAAGATGGATCGTTTTGGAGAATCTCCTCCACTGCTGAAGGTGCAACCTTCATATTCTCAGAGAAGATCTCTGTTTGGTGTGCAAGTCCAGCCAGTTCACAGATTTTCTTCATTCTTTTACCATAAGCTCCATTTACCAGTAACAATGCCTGTCAACCAAACATCATAAGTGTGAATGCTTCTTATACTTTAGAGAACTAGGAAAATATTTCAAATACTGATAAATATTATTTATGATATAACTTCATTATTATTATTTTTTGGGGAAAATGTGAATAATAAAATAATACTGTAGAAAGAAATGAAATTAAGCATAGTCCCTCTTCTTGTTAGATGTCATTTTTTTCTAGCCTTTCATCTATAATATGGTCTGCAGGACAATTTATTGCATCTTTGTTGTCTGGTTATTCTGTAGTACTCTTTGTTAAAAAATGGGTCTCTTGTGAGACAAAGTGCAGGCAAAAAGAAAAAGATAGACCTCCATGGAGGGGTTCCTTATGACAAATATAATTTAACTCTTGTTCAACCTAAGTATTACCAATGTTTATTGAATGAATTGAACACTTGAATATTATAATGCCAATTTATGGAAAAACACTACAACGAATATATTTAGATGTCTCAGTCTGCTGATAAATAAGAAGATGTGCACGGGATATTTATTAAATATCTAAAAAAATTGAAAGAGATGTGAGATGTCTTTTGCTTAGACTTAATTCCTCTTAGTGCCCATGGTCTATTGCAATCCCGATGTGTACCTTATGTTAGGCTGTCGTCTTCTCCCAGTAACAGTCTGAGACTAAACATATGCCAGTATTGAATATATTCAAAACTTGTCACAGACAAAAAATTCTTATGATGTACTTATTGTGCATAAATATTGGATCTATAAATATTGGATCTATTACCTTGCCTGTTGTAGGGAGAGCTGTATGGAATACTGCCTCTACGGCATAAGTCCCACTCCCTTGCACTGGAACACTTGTAAATACTTGTGCTGGGACACCTTAAAGACAGTTGGATCAATCAAATTCTTGACAAAAGTTCTGAAATATATTTGCAAACCAATCCAAATATGAAATGAAAAGACCAGTGACTGTTTTAAAAGTCACTGTAAAAAACACAATAACATTATATCAAATGTAAATATATATATCTACAATCATGTAAATAAAAATCACCAAAAACTGTTATCTGTGAATATTTTCTATCAATTTTTATTCATTGCTTACCTTAATTCAATAATTTTAATAATATTTCTGACTCCAATCTCTTTTGAATCCCACAAAATCCCGTTTTGTTTTAAGTAATCACAAGTGTACTCAGATGCTCCCTGCTGGAGGTGACAAGTTTAACACAATCATCACTAGTTTATGGATGGCACAACTGGCTGTGACAAATTGTGCACACCTAGCACAATCTCCTTCCCACCTCATTTTAAAGGAGTCCAAATAAATGTATCCCCACAAAACAGAACTATTCTTAGGGAACCACTGAACAAATATAGATTTCTTTCCATAGAAACAAACAATGACAAAAGTTTAAATGTGACACGTATACATGTACAGTCTGTTTACTGATAATTTTGAATTACAAGGGAAAGTCAACCTTGCCTCAGTTTGGGACCTTACAGTTACATCCTAGGGCTAGGTAGGGTTTCATTTTGCTCTGTGTTAAAAAGCATAAAGAAAAGAATATAGGAAAATAAAGTGGATTCCCCCCCCCCCCAAATAAATAAATAAATAAATGAATGAATAAATAAATAAATAAATTATAATAACCAGTCATATTATCACTACAAACTCGTTAGCAGCCTAATCACTGATAACAATTATCAGCTATCAGCATAGTGAAATCCCTATAATATCATATATTTATTCAGTTTTGTATCCCAGTTGCTATCTGAGTATCTTCATATGTCTGTCAACCTCACTTCCTTTGCAATTCAAACATATGCTTTGACAATGTGGTTGATCAGTTTTATAGAAAAAAAAAGTTTTTTTGAGACAAGTACACACACACACACACACACACACACACACACACACACACACACACACACACACACACACACACACACACACACACACACACACATATTTGTCTCCAAATATTGCTATAGGTGTGTGGGTTTATTTGGACATCGTATCTATGATCAAATGGATCACATTGGATAGGATGAATCTATACAGGGATTTATCAGTTCAAAAATTGGTCAAATGCACCCTGCTCATAAAACAGAAAATCAATGCTACATACAGTTCTATGCAACCTTTACCTACCCGCCACATCTAAAAGCTTGCTCCTTATTTTCTTTACAGTGTCAATAAATGCTGTATCTCTAGAGCCTAAATCTCTCAGCATTGCTTGTTTGGTTGTCATGGAAACCCCCAAGGGACCAGGGGTAAACAATTTTTTGTCCACAGATGCTAAAAAGAAAACAAAGTGCAAATTAACAAAGCTGTTAAAACATGATAAATCAAACTCCAACACCCTTCTGAATATGTCCCTATTGGCTAATCTCTATGTTACAGAAGCAGGACATATTAGAAGACAAAACCACCTGCCCACAGCCATACCCACCATTGGACAGGAGAACAGATGGATAGCACATGCTACCAATGGTTTGCCAGACTAAGGGTGCTTACGGGTTTAGGATCACCAAAATACCAAAATGAGTTTTTGTGCATTTATTTACTCAATAGCACATCTACCTTTAGGCTGATTAAAAACAATAAATTTTCCCTTAGAAATATAAAAAAAATGGGGGTTAATATCTCGTTGCTAAGCATAGCATAGGCACCTTGCAGTGTTTATCGTCAATTTAACACCTTTCTATTTTGAGATGAGATAGCAATTGTTATGAAGTATCTCCATCCCTAAACAAAATTTTATCTCAAAAATTGGCATAGATAATGGAAAATGTACAGGCTTTAATTCTGTGTCATCATTTTAGTTTAAACACTTTTGCTATAGAGTTATGAGCCCCTGATACAGATTTATATTAAACAAAAGCATTATTTTGCTTTATTAACGCTAAAATCTGAACTAAGGGTTTTATGAAAAACCGTGGCAGGGTTTTGAAGTTCTAACTGCTGTCATTAAATTGGTGTTGGAAAGGTGATGATGGGTGCTCAGGTAAAGGAGAAATATGAGAAACTAATTTTGCAATTTTTACCCCAATATTGCAATTATATGACATCATCGGTATGATGACATTTGTGTAAATGCTTAAGGAATTAGGCCAGTGAGCACTCAAAGAATTATCTATTATTCGAGACCCTGTATGTAAGGCAGTAAATAAGGAGTTTTTGACTAACCCTCACAGTACCCTCAAATAAATTACATGGCCAACAGATAGGGCTTATACCACTGAGTACTGTATAAGAATGATTGGCATTTTTTTTCATGAATGTGAAAGTGGCTTACTGTAAAAAATGTATTGCGCAGAACACTTTTAACTTTCATAGTAGTAATAAGGAAAGACAAGGTCACCTATCAACTGCTATATTAGAAACCAAACCTTCGCATATATTATCAGTCTGTAAACATGCTGAAATAAGATAACCCATTATCATTGCTTGCTCATCTGTACCGTTAAAAACATCCATCTTTCCCCTGCGTGCACGTGTGGGTATGGCTACCTTCTGTTGAGAAAAAAAATATCAAAGACATCTTACTATTACGTTTTAATAACATGTTAATGTTAATAAAACTTATTTAAATCATCTTCCCCTCTCTTGCATTAATTTTAAAAAATTAACGCAAGTTAATCAAAGTATTATCAAAGTATAGAAACATAGAAAATTGTTTTGTATTCAGCAGAAGAGTCACCTGCATTAGTCGTTGCAAGTGACCTCACGGCGCATAAAGGTTTAATCTTGTTTAAACTTTTGATTAATATTTGTCGGTACATTTCGCAGGTGCACGTAGCGGCGGATGTCAAACAGCTTGTCTTGATAAAAACCTCAACCGGATGTGGATATATGGCATGCGCAGCCGGAAGCATTTATAGCACATTCATGCAAACTCACTGCTTTGGGACAATATAAGTAAACAAAATCGTTATGAGTTCTATAGGAACAGGGGTGAGTTTGTGTGTAATTCTGTTTTACATTACAGAGTGTTAACAAAAGTAAACCATGGAAAAACTATAGCCCATGTCATATAGAATATAGGCTCAATTTAGTGAAATGGTACTAAATACGGGTACGCCGGGTGATAAGTAACTCGCTTTCTCTCAGTTTCAAACCGTTTCATTGTCAAATCTTTTCGATTGCATATATTCTAATTTTGACTGTTATTAGACCGAAATTCGTGTGCCTGACAATTTTTTGTACTTGTGCAGTATTTCTTCTGCAAACTAAGTGTTTGAAACATAAAAGGCCTATGGCTCTGACACTGATTCAACTGTAATTTACTGTACATCGTAAGATACTCATGACCATCGTATTGTTAGGTGTCATTCCAGTTTAAAATATATATACAGTAGTTGTCAATAGTGCAAGCCCATTAATATTTTATTGCTAGTGTATTTTTTTTTTTTCAGTATGATTTATCAGCATCCCAGTTTTCCCCAGATGGCAGAGTATTTCAAGTAGAATATGCTCAGAAAGCAGTGGAAAATAGTGGGTAGGTAACATTATTAGTTTTTTTAATGAACAATGTTAAAGTTGCATTGGCGTGAATATGATGCCCCCCACCTACACACGCATGTGGTAACAGGTAACAGACACAAACAGGTAACAGATACTTGACTGGCTGCCACATCTCAAAGATCTCCTCAAAAACTTTAAAATCTGAAACAAAAATGAGAAGACTATCAGTTTTTTTATGTACAGACACAGATGTGTCTGTACATATTGCCATCACCTGCGTCTGTCGGTGTCGCCGCCTCCGTTGTTGCCGTGCACTTTCATTGTAAACACGATAAGTGGAAGGCAGTTTTACTTTTTGGCTTTATATTTACAGAGCTGATGAATATTCATAAAATGCAGGTCAAGTTTTAAAAAAAGCAGGATCGGGCCATTATTGTAGAAGTTATGCTGTTTTTTCACTTTTCAGCATATATGCAACACTGTAAACACATTTAAAGGAAAACCGATAGGCCTGTTGTCATGAAACTCACAGGAGTAATCTATCTTACTAAAATGCAGGTCAAGTTGGAAAATCGGCATGATCGGGCCACTATTTTAGTAGTTATCCTTTTTTTTTTTTCACTTTTCAGCATATATGCAAAACTGTAAACACAATATAAGAAAAACAGATAGGCCAATTGTCATTAAACTCACAGCAGTGGTCAATCCTGCTAAAAATGCAAGTTAAGTTAAAAAATCAGCATAATCAGGCCATTATTTTAGAAGTTATGCTGTTTTTTCACATTCCCTCAGATTCAATTCTTAGGCATGTTAACAGTTTCATTATTAAATTAATAAGATACGAAAAAGTGATTGTTTGACATTTCCTGCATCTTTACAACATTGTTAGTTGATTTTGTAAAAATGATGGTAAACTTGTTATCGTATTGTGTAATAAATTTCAAAAATGGAAATAAACTCATATCATTGCAGTTTGTCAGATTCAATCATTCACTATGTTCAGAATCTCATCTGGAAGAAATTGGACATTTAACACTGCTCTATTGATTTTTTTCCCATCTCATCAATTTTTTTAGTTGATCATATAAAAATGGCAGTAAACTGTTAATTTTGTTTTATGTTAAAAATTGTAAAAAAAAAAAAAAAAACATTTCAGAACAGTGCTGTCTTGTTTACATTTTGGCATTTTCAAGTTGTGACTTTGAAGTTCCATGGGCCTGAAGACCTTTGCTAGTCACATTTTCTGAATATCCATGATACTAATATTTATTATTAAAAATTGATGGTCATTATGCTGTTAAACATTATGCAATATTGCATCAAAATTTGAAAAAAAAAATATTTTGGACACTGCTCCCATGATGACCATTTAAGAAAAACCATGTCACTTACTGTTCTCAAACTTACAGGAAAGAAACATGGGACAAAATACAGCTTCAGTAGGCAATGCAATCTGTTTGGTAATTCTTTCTGCCAGTTAAACAGTTTTTTTGTGAAAATTTAATTTTTCACATATTGGCATTTTCAAGGTGTGACTTTGAAGTTCCACAGGCTTGAAGACCCATGCTAGTCACATTTTCTGAAAATCCATGATACATATATTTTATTATTAAAAATTGATTGTCATTATGCTGTTAACCATTATGTAATATTGCATCAGAATAGAAGAAAACACAATTTTGGGTGCTGCTGCCATGATGACCATTATGGGAAAACCATGTTACTTATGATTGCCAAACTTTCAAAAAAGAAACACAGGACTAAAATGCAGCCTGAGTTGGAAAAGCAGTCTAATTGACTTCTTTTTCTGGAAGTTATACATTTTCAAAGTGTGAACTTGAACTCCCATGGGCCTGAAGCCTTATGCTTGTTACACATTTTACTTACATTGGTATTACCTGTTGAGCATAATTAAAATTTGATGTTGAATTTGCAGTTTAACATAATGTACTTTTGCATCAGAATTGATAATAGCCCATTTTGTTATTTCCTGCTTTTTGTCTGTACATTTGACAGCTTTGCTGCCTTGTTTTGTAAATGCTTTATAATTTTTTCAATGTTCATGATTTGCATGAAACCACTTTCCAAGAACAATTCCTGCAGTTGTTTCCACTGATTACATTCAATTTTTCAGCACTGCTGTGGCAATTCGAGGGAAAGATGGAGTAGTTTTTGCAGTAGAGAAGATAGTAGCTTCCAAGCTGTATGAAAAAGGGGCAAATAAGAGGATAGTCAGCATTGATTCACATGTAGGAATGGTGAGCTCTGTTTTGTATCAGATTTGCAGCAAAGTTACAAGTGCATTTCATAAAAAATATTTTAACTTTCTTATTATCTACACTTTACATAAAAACATTCTGAACTGCTTCTTAGCCTTCAAAGTGATCTTTCCTGTTTCTTTTTATGTTATTTCTTGCATTATTGATTTTATAAACAGGGCAAATTGTTCCAAAAATCTAATAATTTTTGGCTTTTTGAAAGCTAGTCTCTGTCACAGATATATTGTGTGTTCTTTGTCATTGCAGGCAGTGGCAGGATTACTAGCAGATGCCAGGAATATTGTAGAAGTTGGCAGAGAAGAGGCAGCTAGTTACAGATCAAACTTTGGGGTCCCCATTCCACTCAAGGTTGGTCCTTGGAAATGGAACTACAATTTTATTTATTTTTGAGTTATATTGTCACAAATTGCAACAGTTACTACATAAAATGAAAATTTTGGATCAAAATAGTATGTTTAACTGATATTTTGACACATCTGTCTTCTTATGCATACAGTATGTTATGGAAAAGGCATGATTTTAATCATGTTTTAAAACACAAATCTTATTTACAGATTACTGTAAGTTAGAATGCCAGAGGGTAATTGTGCATATTTGTTATTCTCATATTTGAATGATAATTTTCAGATGTTAGCTGATCGTGTAGCTGGGTATGTTCATGCCCACACATTAACTAGCTCAGTACGGCCATTTGGTTGCAGTGTTATATTTGGATCATATGAAGAAGGTGGACCACAGCTTTATCTGATTGATCCATCAGGAGTGACATTTGTAAGTGGCATTCCTGCTATTGAAGGGACTTGGGTCATATTGTGATATTCTGAGTTCAAGTGGAACTTCTTCTTATTGATTGTTT